TAACACACACATCCTCTGTGTGCCAGGCACTATGCCAGTAGCTGAGGTTAAAAACCCAAATCATGTTAGAGACACAGCCCCTGACCTCATGGACTGGTGCTCGTTGCACTAAATAGTTACATACTAATTGCAGCATGATTTAATGATAGCTGTGAAGGAGAAATAGCTGTAGAAGGAAAATTGGGACACCCAGAGAATCAGTAACAGACTTTTGCTTAGTGAATAAGCCAAGGATGGCCTCCGTGAGGAAGAGCCAGAACCCCTGAGCTCGAAGCAGTGCTGCTCTTTAGAAATGGAACATAAGCCTCCTAATTATGAATGCTTTAGGTCTATATTTTTCAAAAATTAGTAAAGTTGATTTTAACAATACGTTTATGTAACCCCATATTCTAAAGTGTTATACTAACGTGTAATGAATATAAAATGTTACTAAGGGTTTTTCCCCCCTTTTTGGGTATCTGGTGGATTTTTTACACTTACAGCACATTTCCAATGGACTAGCCACATTTCATGTGTTCAAAAGACTTATATGGCTCGTAGCTTCTGTACTGAATAGCGCAGCCCTAGAAAATGAGAAAGGGTTTACTTGCAGAGACACATGTCGGGTAGAGTTTGGAGTGGGGTACAGGAGAGGGAAGGAAGAGGAGCTCTTTGGCAGAAGAAGGCCCAAGGGGGGAAAAGCAGGGTGTGTTGGAGGAGTGGGAGGCAGACAGATGGATGGAGGGTGGGCAGATGAGAGGCACAAGATGGGTATGGAGAGGGAGGGAGCCCAGGCCCAGACAGACCCGCAGCATTTTATCCTGAGAGCAATGAAAGTCATAGGGAAAAAAAGCTATGAATAAACAAGATCCAATGGGGGCTTTTCAAACATCTTTGAGGACAGATGAGAAAATATTCCAATGAGACAGAGAGGAGTGGAGGGTTGTGAATGTCAGCCATGGTAGGGAAGATAAATCTGTCTGACCCTTTTCCCGGTTCAGCTGTTTGCTTTAAAAGTGAACAAACAAAATGACCAGACTGAAAATTTCCATGCAAAGCTTCAGGGAGCTCCATGAGGTTAGACCTTGTCTTTTCATATTGCTTAATCTAAAGCTCGGCATAGAGCTGAACCCAAAGTACTAACCAGCAGCAGCAGCCACGGCAGCAGCAGCACCAACACTTACTGAGCTTTTACAATGCGCCAGACACTGTGCAGGGCCCTTGTTTGCACAAACTCTTAAGCTTCGACAACTCTACCAGGCAGATGTTATTATCTTCATTTTACAGATGAGATTGTGGAGGTTCAGGGAAGGTAAATGACAAGCACAATGCCACACAGCCAGGGAGCGGCAGTGGCAGGACCTGATCCAGGCTGTCAGACTCAGAGACTCCATGGGGCCTGGAGGGAAGCTGAGGCTGGGCAAGTCCTGAATAATGAGGAGAGAATTGATTGCGTGTCTCAGAGCATTGCCAGGAGGGAGCTTTTCCAAGCCTAAGACAGAGGAGCAGAGATCTGTGGATCTGTATTTTTTCTTCCCCCTTTGAACTGATTGAGTGATTTAAAAAAAAAAAAAAATTAGCTCAGCTTTGTTTCAAAGTCCCCAGGAGGCTTGCTGTACTCTGAAATCCAGGGAGTCATAATTTGCCCTCATCCCTGTTCATTGCAGGGTCTGTGCTAGTCTTTAGAGAGACCCTTCTGTCCCATGTGAACCTCAGACGGTCATGGGTTGCCCGACTTTGTTCTCAGTAAGGTTGACAAAGGTCTCCCTTCCTCCCTCCCTCCTTTTTCCCTTCCCTCCCTCCTTCCTTCCTTTCTTCTTTCCCTCCTTTCCTCCTTTCTTTCTTTCTTCCCTCCTTCCTTCCTTCCTTTCTTCCTTCCCTCCTTTCCTCCTTTCTTTCTTTCTTCCCTCCTTCCTTCCTTCCTTTCCTCCTTCCCTCCTTTCTTCTTTCCCTCCTTTCCTCCTTTCTTTCTTCCTTCCTTCCCTTCCTCCTTCCTTTCTTCCTTCTTTCCTTCCTTTCACCCTTCCTTTCTCCCCTCCCTTCCTGCTCCCTCCTCCTTCCTTCTTGTTTCTTTCAAGCTCATCATCTCAGCAAGTACCCTCAGACCTTTGCATTCCACCCTGCAGTCCACTCCTGGGAGGACAGTTGGAGGAGGCCGTTGTACAGATTATAAACCAAGACCGGAGAACATGAGACCCCTTTCCACGCACACACCTGAGCTCTTTCTGTGTTCTCGTTGCCACCAGATCCTCTCCCAAAGCCTGTGTAATTTGGCATTTGGATTTTTCCTGCTGGCTTATTGGCATTTTAATAGCCTGTTCTAATTGGTATCTGTTTCCAGTGAAGTTCAGCTTCAGTTACATGAGAAAGACCCTCTTACTAAGTGCCCTTCCTTGCCTTTTCTCGAACACAGCAGGAGGTGTGCCTCTTGCATAAGCACTTTTTTCCCCAAATGAGTTTGTATTCAATTAGCCACAAATATGTTCTATGTGCATCTACGTATATAAATATACGCAAACACATACACATTTGGATTATTTCAACACAAAATCCAATGTGCTGAAATTCCATTTTTATGTAAATGAATAAAATTTCTTTGGGGAGCATTGTAAGGGCCATTGGGTCACACCGTATTTGGAGATCACCACTTTCCCTATTCTGCCAAATATGTCAACTGACTGTAAAGAATTCAGATCAAAAGTATTTGAGAAATCCCGAGTCTACAGCATGTCTGCCCTTTATTTTAAACCATCTTAAATTTATCTTTATCATGCCCAATGCCCTCCAGTATTCTAAAAGCCTTTGTTGCATAAGCAATTTCTCCATTCCGTAGTGGCTTATCTGACAGTTTCCCATTTACCTTCTACCTATTTTTGCACTCGACTTTGAATTTTAAAACCCCACTGTGGTTTGAAAAAGACTTAAAGGATCTTGAAGGACGAAATGTGAAACCTAGATTAGCAATTACTATAAACCTTCCAGAAAGTAAGTTGTTGTTGTTATTGTTTTCTATTTGGGCCAAAGCAAAGACCTGAGGCTTAAGTGTAATCCAAATGCATCATGTAATGAAGCTGATATCCTGGAAAAGTGACTTCACTTTTCACTCAACTCTGCCTGACTCCACCGTTTCATTCTCACTAACTGAGGATAAGGATATTCCTAGGATGATGCCTTTTTTTAAAAAAATCTGAATCCCGGGCAACTACTCCAACATTAAGCCTCATTTAGGTTGAAAGAAAATTCATTTTCTTACTGCTTTCTCTCTCAGTTCTTTTTCTGAGCTTTAATCAAAAGCAGCTGTGCCAGGCCACACGCCATACCATGAGAGTTTCTGTACCCTGAGGCACTCTCTGCCCCAGGCAAGGACCACAAATGTTCATCCTGACAGTAAAAGCAGGGTGGGCTCCGAAACTCAGAGGAGAAGGAGGCAGCAGCTGATGAAATATAGCGGGTGTTAGCTTCAGTGATAGGGTTGCTTGAACATGCTGACCCTCACTTCCCAGGAAATCCCTGCAATTCCTAAGAGCTCCTCTTTATCCCCTATCTGCCACTTCTGATGCGTATTTTCTGAAGATTCTGCTCAGTCCTACTCAATGACACCACCCTTTGTGGTTCATTTTGACCAAACATCACAAAGATAATATTAATAGCTAATGCTGTAGAAAGTGGGCTACGTGCCAAGCATTGTCCTGGGCAATTGCTAAACAATCACGCATTTATTCTTTGATTCTTCACAACAACCTTACAAGATAAGTGCTGTTATTGTTCCAAGGTACAGAGGAGGACACCGGGGCCCTGAGAGGTGAGACAAACTTGCTCAACATTACACAGCTATAGTTGAGAGCGGAGTCAGTTTACATATGCAGGCCATCTAGCTCCAGATTTGGTGCCCTTAACCACTGGACAACACCGCCCCTGCCAGTGGCACTGATTCTTCTGGGCTCTGTGCTAAGTACATGCGGACATATTTTTATAAGATCTTCTTAACAGCTGGGCATCGCTATTGCATTTTTAAGAGACACATAAATTTAAGCCCCACAGCCAGGGAATGTAGGAGCTAGACAAATTTATTTTCTCATTCAGCAGGTATTCACTGATCATCTAATAAGTCCTATGCTCAATGCTGTAGACACAATGAGGAGAACAGACATAGTCTCTAGTGATTCGGCACATAAAGACATCATTTCAAAACTGGCAAAACATAAAGAGGCAGTGCAAGGTATCTTTTCTAGCTAAGGGTGGGAGGTGGTGTAGGGAGGGGGCTTTTCTCCTGGAGGAAGAAGTGTTTAAGCTAAGATAGCATCTATCTAGGGGAAGTTACGTCGTAATGGGTAGTGGGTTAGGGAGCAGACAGAGAAAAGTATTCTCAACAAAGGAGTGTTATGTGCACAAACCTTGCTTTGGGGGAAGCAAGGTGAAATTGTGACATTTGAGCCACCCCAGCTAGGCTAGAATGCCAGGGGCGAGGGGAGAGGATGGAGGGAGTGCCTTGAAATGAGGCAGGAGAGACAAGAAGTTGTGGTTCACCTGATCCTCAAGCTACGTTTTAAATCTCCCTGTTCCACCGACCACACTATTATAGCGGGCTCTGAGTCTAAAAGTTTGCTTTTCTCATTTCATAAAACAGTTGGTAAAAGCCCATTTAAAAAATCTCAGCAACATGGCATGTGTTGCAGACAGACATAATTTCAAATGTGCCTGTGCTTTGCCCTCTCTAACATATTCCATCATGGGCCTATTTGCGGAGCAGATGATGCAGGTGAAAACCCTTGTAAACAGTGACGTGCTTTCCACACGCCCGTCCGTGTTATTAGCCTTAATAATGGGGCTTGTTTTGGATAATGCACGTGCTCTAATGGGAGTTAATATATATTAAGTGTTCAAAACGCTGCCTGGCTCATGGTAAACAACTATGTACGTGTTAACTATTGTTGTTATTATTATGTCTCCCTTTTTGTCTTTCGCAAGACTTGGTCCAGGGAGGATCTGTTTTATGTATTCATGTTCCTCTTTTCTTTCAGGTCAGAACAAAATCTGCTTCATCCCAGGCATGGTGGGACCTATATTAGAGATGACACTTATCCCTGAGGCTGAGCTGCGGAAAGCCACCATACCAATCTTCTTCGACATGATGCTGTGTGAATATCAAAGAAGTGGGGATTTCAAAAAGGTAAAAAATGAGGCCGGAAACTCATGCCAGCATCCCTAATCCCCAGCCCATTTCCCCATAATGATATTCTCATTCCATCTCCCTGAGCTTCATTGAGAGGCTCCATGGCAGGATAGGGAGATTTATTCATGGGCTCAGAATGAGCTGGCAGATCAGATTTGGTCAGTATTCTATCACAGGTTTCCATCCGAGGACAAGATTAAAATGCACTTTCTTGTTGTGTATTTGCTTAGTTTCTTTCTCAGAAAGCTAAGAACCCCGCGTCTCTAGCTAATGATTCCCTAACTGTGCTCCCAGGGCAAACCCTCCCACCCATCCCACCTGTCCCACTCTGGCACCCACTCTTGTCTGGTACTTCGTCTTCTGGACTGACTCAGCAGATCTATGTTATCTAGAAGAAGCCGACCCTGCCATATGTCATACTTACCCAACATCAAATGTGATAGCAAATGGAGTTAGGGACATGTTGCTCACGAGGTACCTGTGGATCTGTGTGGGAATAGGAGGCTGTCCCCAGCATGGAGGGCACCAGAACCTCTGTGAAACACAAGATCCATTGGCCAAATATTGTCATTGAATATCTTTAAGAAAGAGGTCCATTTCCTAGGCCGGGTCACACTGGGAGCTCTGGCAGTGGAAGAAGAACCAATCTCCCCAGTTGGCTCCTGGCACTGCTCGGTGACTTTACCCTGTGGAGTAAAGTTGCTCTTTCAGTCCCATCAAGGCTGCCTGGGCAGTTCCCTCAGGTCTCAGCCCCTGTTCTCTCTGCCCCATGGCCTCACTAAGTTTCACCACTAACTGAGCTGCTCCCTCTCCTCCCTCCTCCAGTGCTTCTACCTCTCATTCCTACCATAGCCTGCCTTAAAATGGGCACTTAAAAGGCAGCAGATTCCAAACTGCCCTTCCTTAAGATCCTTAGGGATATTTCCCTTTCTTTACCCATTAACACCCTGCAGAATAAAGCCCACACCCTCTAGCCAACATCCACAGTCCTACCCGCTCCAGCCATCTGAAGAACTTCTCAGCCATCCTCTCCAACTCTTCCCTACCTCACCTCTTCTCCAGCTATCCCTGCAGCTCACCTGAATGCCATTGCCTCTGCGGGTGTCCTTCATGAATTTTTTTCTTCCTGCTACTTCTCTGCACAGCCACAACCCTGCCTGCCAACACCTCCTAAGCCCCTACTGATCCTGCAAAGCCCATCCAAATGCCATGTCGCCTAGTAGAGGTCTTTTCTTTTTTTTTTTTTCCATTTATTTATTTTATTGCATTTTAGGTTTTGGGGTACATGTGAAGAACATGCAAGATTGTTGCATAGGTACACACGTGGCAGTGTGGTTTGCTGCCTTCCTCCCCATCATCTACCTCTGGCATCTCTCCCCTTGCTATCTCTCCCCTACTCCCCACCCCCCACCATCCCTCCCCTATTTCCCTCCAACTGACCCCGGTGGGTAGTGCTCCCCTCCCTGTGTCCATGTGTTCTCATTGTTCAACACCCGCCTATGAGTGAGAACATGCGGTGTTTGATCTTCTGCTCTTCTGTCAGTTTGCTGAGAATGATGGTTTCCAGGTTCATCCATGTCCCTACAAGGGACACAAACTTTTCTCCCCATTCCTGCCATTTTATGTCTAAGGTATAACTATTATCTACTGCCTTGCTTTAGACTCATTTCTGTGCATTTTTTCGTCTTCCTCATCTGCATCTAATGATGATGATGATGATGATGATGATGATCATGACTGACTTTAGGTATTTACTGCATATCAGGCATATGCCAACTATTTTCTATACATTAGTTCGTGTAGTCTTTTTTAGACTACAACCCTATGAAGTAGGTAACATTATCTTCCCCGTTTTAAAGATGAAAAGAAACTGAGACATAGAAAGCTGTCGTCATTTGCTGAAAGTCACACATGAAGAAAGTGGTAGAACAGAGGCTACAAGAAGCAGGTCACTGTGATTCCACAACGCATGCTGGAACCCCGCACTCTCCAGCCACCAGTGTCTCCCAGTAATTCTGGCAGAATAGTATCTGCTAGCGCAGTGCTTTCCCTGAATATGTCCATGGAGCACTAATCCAGCAAGATGCTCCATGGAAAGGGGGTTTCAAGGTTAAATACCTTTGGAAGCCACTGCATGTTGGAACCCCTCTTAGAGATTCCCAATGCATATTAACAGAGTCAAGGCACTTTCCATGGCAAACAGATCTGTCATTTCTTAAATTTATTTGTGCAAGAAACATCTATTGGATCTTCCATCCTATTAATCCCATGTGGGAGAAAGTTGTTCTGAGAGGAATAAGAGACTAGTTTGCTATGATGATACCATTGTGAGAGGTAGCATTATAGGGACTCTAGTGACAGAAGGGCTAGTGACCAGCTGGCCCTTTGTGAAATGCCTGAAAAGCAATCAGGCTGAATAGGTCAAATGGAGAAAGAGGGCATATCTGAGCACTTGGGGTAATGGAGGGTGAAAGCTTGCATTGAGTGTTTGCAGGTAGCTTGGAATTTGCTGCCTTTTAAGTGGGAGCAAGGTCTGCGCAGCTTGGGACCACGTGAAGGGCACACACCATGAGATGAAGGGCATTGTACTTACCCTCAGACCCACTTCTGAGGTCAGCTGGTACCTTAGAAGAGTTTTGCAAAAGAAATATAAAAAAGTAACATACAAAAGAAACATACAAAGTGTCTGATGGCGTACAGTGTCCCAGAAAGAAAGAAGACCTGGTCATTGCTTGTACTGCGACCTGACAGATGTGTTTGGCAGCCTCAGAGGGTTTCACTCTAGTGTAATTTTCATTCTCTAAAGGATTCGCTTATCTTGGTTTCTCTGTGGCATGCACCCACCTGTTTTCTCTGTATGGTGTCATTCCTTCAACTCCTTGCTCCAGTGTACGTTCATTCTGAGCATGTTCCCCAATCACTTCTCCTCGCTGCTCCCTTATCAAAAAAGACGGGACAATCAGGCTGACTAATGAGGCAGATGCCCATGTGAAAACCAGCCGGCATGCTTTATAGGAGCTCAGCTGTGGGATAAGCGGTCCCAGGCATGGCTTTTGGTTCACAGTAAGCAGTCATGGAAGGGGTCTCCAGGAAAGGGAGGGGGTGACAGCCTACTGAATCCCAAGAAGCAGAGCTTTGCTCCCAGTTCATACCAAGCCCTCTGGCCTGATACCAGCTTCCTGAAGTTCTCTAGCTCTCATTCCTTTGTATGGGCTCTTCCTTTTATATCTTTTCCAGAAGAGATCCTAGACACCCTTCAGTGGAGGCTTTTTGGGAAAGGCTTTCCTACATTCTGGGGCAGTGGTTCATTTGGGTACAACAGACAAAGATTTGCTCAAGCCAAGTCTACACAGGCTAGAGTGGGGACAGGAAGGTGTTAGACTCTAAGTGGCTCAGGGTTCTGGGGGCTGAAAATGAAGTGACTCCAGGGCAAGCTGTCTCTCTGTTCTGGGTTTCTTTTGCAACCTCAATGCCAGATTGCCCTGTCTCCTCCTCTCACCCAAATTTCATAGACAGCTGATGGGTGTGACTGATGACATTTACCCCTCATGAGTGCAGCACCTCATCCCAGACCATCTCGGGGGTCTCTGTCCATTGTCTAGGACTGGATGTCCCATCTCTGGTACACCACATGATTCCCTTGGCGGGGTTGTGGAAAGGCAGTTTCAGCAAGAGGGCCTTGGGTGGACCCCACCGTGGCTGGCTTGGCCAGGACACATGCCAGTCAGAGGGAAACGTATCTCATCCTGCCTGGGCTGAGCAGTCATCACACTTGTCCCACACAGCACAATTACCTGCTCATAGGTCTGCCTCTCACAGCAGACTGTGAGCTCTTGAGGGTCAACACTGATCTCTCAGTCCTGAACTCCAAGTCTCTGTCAAGTGCCTGAGATCCATGTGGTGGAGATCCATGTCAATGTTCCCAGAATAAATGGATGGAGGCATTTAGACCCCCATGCCACGGCATTCAGGGGAACTGAGTCAGCACAGGGAGGTACATTCCAGCAAACGTTTTTATAACATAGAGTAATGGGGGTTTCTAATACTGCTGTGGTAATCCCCTTGCACTGGGAGGACCAGCTGTCTTGCTGGCCAATTCTTTGTGGAAGGAGGGAACGTAGGTGTTCTGCATACTGCTGGTGGGAATGAGCGAGAGTCCTGGGGTACAGAGACCTTAGAGACTGGTTAGCTGGATGCAGATTGTAGAACAGGGCTGTGTACCAGTCAGCATGAGGGTCTGAGCCCTCAGCAGGCAGGAGATCCCAGAGAGAATTCTTCTATTAGAGAAAGAAGAGGAGATAGTATCTGACAGCAGCACCTAGAACGGTGCCTGAACACCACAGGAGCTCAATCATTGCTCATTAAATGAATTAGTAGATGGAGATAGCCATATTGGTGGATTCCATTGAGACTGCATCTTGGCGTGGAGCAAGTTGGTGATTTAAATTGTTTGGAACATAATGTGGAAAAGATTACAACAATTCAGTAAATCTGTACTTAGGACTTCCTGTTCTCAGTGCAGTGGTTTGGATTCAGCTAGACCTACTTCTTAGAAGCTGAATAAATGCGGGTAAGTTATTTAACACCTCTCAGCCTCAGTTTCTTCATCTGTAAAGTGGGTATCATACAGCCATTACAGGTTCCCATCCCAAGCTCTTTGGGGGGATGAATTGGAACAATTAGAGACCAGACAACTCAAAGAAAATCAGAAAGCTGCGCTGACTTCCACAGACACCCCTTTCCACATGGCACTCTCTTTTCCAGATTCCTCCTGACTCTACTTCTTTCCATCTAGGATAACTGGCGTTTCATAACAGAGGAGGTCAAAGGCAGACTTACTGGTGTTGATGTCATTCTTGTCATCTCTCTGACATCCAGGCCTCTAACACCATCTCTGCCCTTCCCATGTCAAAGTCAGCACCAGACATGTGAGGAAGAGCAGTTATTCCCCAAATCTCATAGTTCTACAGGGCTGGGCTCCCATCAGAAAACATTCTTGGAAAAAAAGATGATAAAAATAGCCAAGATGTTTTAAAGCAGCCAGGAGAGGCAAGAGAAGCAATGCAGGGAAGGCATGAAGCAAACATGAGGCCCATATCAGGCCATTCTCCTGGAAAAGGGAGGCCCAGGGAGGAGGTTTGGGCTCCTGGAGTTCACCCCTTTTTTCTTGATTAGGACTCCTTAAGATTTGTGTTGGGCCTCTGTAGACTCTGACTTCTGCAGCGGCCCAATACAAATCTGTGTATACTTATTAGCAAACATCCACCTCACAGCCATGGGGTAAGGAGTCAATGATGTGACATAGCCATGTAGCTGAGGATGAAAACGGAAGTAACTTGGAGAGGCCAGAGCTACATCCTCAGCTCTGCATGGTGACACTGTTGGGGGTAAGGACTATCAGAGCATCATGGTGGAGTGTATGTTTGGGAGAGCCTTTTTTTTTCTTGAGATGAAGTCTCACTCTGTCACCCAGGCTGGAATGCAGTGGCGCGAACTTGACTCCCTGCAACCTCTGCCCCCAGGTTCAAGAGATTCTCCTACTTCAGTCTCTCAAGTAGCTGGGATTTCAGACACCTGCCACCATGCCTAGCTAATTTTTGTTTTTTTAATAGAGACAGAGCTTCACTGTGTTGGCCAGGCTGGTCTCAAACTCCTGATCTTGTGATCCACCTGCCTCGGCCTAACAAAGTGCTGGGATTACAAGCATGAGCCACCGCACTCGGTGGGGAGAGCCTTCTTCTGTTGGATGTTGGGCCTACCCTAGCTCAAGTTCATCCATTCATTAACACTCGAGGCCAAGGTCCTACATTGCCTCAGTCTCCTCCTTTGTAACATGGGGATGCTGATATTCTTCTCCCTTGGCTGTTGTAAAAATTAAATGAGAGTATGATGCCTGCGATGATGAGATTGACGACACAATGACATAGCATCATGAGCTTTGCTAGCAATCACCGAGCATTTACTATGTGCCAAGTGCCTTTTACATGTGTTTGCCCTTTAATTTGTTACAGTACCACTACGAAGGAGATGCTGTTTCAAATCTCCATTTAACAGATGAGCAAATTAAGCCTCAGAAATGTTTCTTAACTGTCCTGAGGTCACAGGACTGGGAAAACAGTCAAAGCAAGACTCAAACCAAGCCTATTCAATGCCAAGGATTGTGATCATAGCCATTTCCAAGCACAGCACTGACCCTGGGATGTGTCTTACTGAGACCTTACCCCTCTAGCTCACCCCAAGGGTTCGGGCACAGTGGTGTGGTGGCATTTATCTCTGCACGCTCCCTGGCACCCTGTAATTTCCCTCCTGGCAGGCTCTTTTGTGACCTTGAGACAAGTGCTTATTTACCTCAACGATGTCTCTGCTCCAGAGAAAAGTTCAGCTCACCAGGGGGAATCATGCCAGCATTTCCCAGTGAACCACTCAGACAAGAAAAAAGGCTGGTTTTCTCCCTCTGTGATGTTTTCCAGTAACATTCGGCAGGAATAACAATCACATCAGTGGTGATAACAAGTCGATCAAGCACAGTGTACACTTCATGTTAGGCACTTTGCTGGTGCTTTATGTATAAAATCTGTGCACCCTCTAACTACTCCACGCTGTAGGTACTACTGCTATGCCCGTTATATTGATAAGGGGTAGACAAACTCTGGCCCACAGGCCAAACCCTTCCTTCCATCTGCTTTTGTAAATAAAGTTTTATTGGAATACAGCCATGCCAATGTGTGTATGTGTTGTCTAGGGCTGTTTTTATGCTACAGCAGCAGAGTTGAGTAGTTGTCACAAAGACACTCTGGCCTGCAAAGCCTAAATTATTTACCGTCTGGCCCTTTACAGAAAATGTGTACCAGCCCCTGATCTAAATCCTGACACTGAGGATTAGAAAGACCTACCAGCTTTCCCAAGATGGCAGAGGGAAGTGGGGAGGGATTTAAAGCCAGACAGCTTCACAGCAGACTCATTGTGTAGTCCTTTGGCTATATTTCTTCCTGCTCTAGGCTTGGCAGAGAAGACATCTCTAAGCATGATAGTCCCCAACCGTTGACATTGGATAATATTCAACACAGACATAATACTTGACAGGATATACCATAGAAGGGGCATGACTCATTTGCAGCCTGCCAGTCTAGACCCTTACCACACTGGCTTCATCTAGGTGTCTGTTATTTATTTCCCTCCCTCTCCTCCCTGCGTCTCCTCCCTCCTTCCCACCCCCCCACCCTCCCTGCCTCTCTTCCCTCCTTTCCACCCTCCCTCCCTCCCTCCCTCCTCACTCCTCCCTCCCTCCTCCCTTCCTTCCTTCTTCCTATCATCTCTCCCTTTCATTTGTCCATACATCCATCTCTCTCTGCTCAAAGTGAACTATTGTCCTCATTTTTCTCCACATTCCCACCTCAGCACCTTGGCTCACACCATTTCCCCCATCTGGAATACCTTCCTTTTCACATTTATCAGTTTAACCCATCTTTCCAGGCCCAGTATATCTCCTTCAATAAGTCTTCCCCAACTGTGGCAACTCATGAGAAATTCCTTGGCATTTGTGCTGTATCAGCACAAACTTTTGGTCCACACCTTTGACCCTTTGCGCACAAAAGTGAGGGGACAATGGCATCACAGATGCTGTGTGAACCAGAGGAAAGAACGAATCTGGTCCCTGCCTTTTCATCACCTAAAGATTCCAACTCCATGGGGCTCTATCCTTTTTGCACAAGAAAGAGCCTGCCAAAGGTCTCTGCCATTCATCTGAAACCTTAGACAGGACACTTAAACTCTCTGAGCCTTTACTTCTTCATCTGTAATAAACTGACACCGAGGGTTGTACCAAGCAAGGGCTGGCTGCTTTTCATCCACTGTCACATTTAGAGGTGATCAGTGACCTCCAGGCTTCATGAAGTATTATGAAGACTGAGTGTAAAGAGGTCGAGTTAGAAGCCAGGACTCCCCATTTCCCCTTTTGGACTCAGTGGCTTTTGCCAAGACTGCCTTTCCCTCTCCAGGTGCCAGTTTCTTTTTTAATGGTAAAATGAGGGAAGTGTGGATTTGGGTGGACTCTTCCGGGTATAATACTAAAACAATACAGACCATTTTGCATCAAAATCATGTTAAAAAGACACAGTGTGACTTCAAAAAAATGTATTGAATAAGCCATGCACTCCAATGGGTGAAATGCTTCTTAACATGGAAAGCAGGGAGACAAAACTTTCTGTGGCTTCCACGCAACAAGATTTGGTGGAGCTGTAGATGGAGACTTGCTTTCTGATCACTTACCTGATCTGATCTCTGATCATTACCATTGACTCCAGTCTTAACTCTCTGAGACCTGATTTGCTCCATGTCTTATGAGTATTTTTCAGCATTTTTTTGTTTGCAGGTAACAAAACTCCGGTTCAAACTGGCTGATAGATAAGTCAGGTGTGGCTGAATGCAGAGGCTCACAAATGGCATCAGTTCTCTGTCTGTCTGTGTCTTCCCCTCGCTGCTTGCCTCTGTATTGGTTTCATTCTCACACAGCCTCTTTCACTATGGTCAGCAGCAGCCTCAGGCTTATGACCTTCCACCTTCAGTTGAGCCGAAAGACTCATTTTGCTAAGAGTTCCAATAAAGCTTCAGATTTAGAGTCTCACTGTCTCAGTTCGGACCTTTATTAATCCTGGGACCTCGGCAATGAAATATATTGATTAGGAGCTAGGCCTGTGTTGGGTCTCCACACCTGGAACTAGGGAGGGAAGCTCAGCCCACCAGAGCCCCAAGGACTGTGGTTAGGACTGATGTGATCACCAAAAATATGGAGAAAGAAATGAAGGAATGCCAAGCAGGCAAAAACAATAGCTCTCCAGGAAACATGGTATTCCCTGAAGAACCTGAGCTCCCTCATGCACTTCCATGCCTTTGCACATGTGGTGCTGTCTTCTTGGGATGTCCTTTCCCTTTTCCTCTTTCTGCAAAATCTCTCTTTAACCTTTGAAAACAAGCTCAAATAACATGGACTGTGAGAAGTCTTTCCTGACTCTTCTCCCTTCCTCCCTCTCCTGCTCTCTCTCCGTCTCTCTCTCTCTCTCTTTCTGTCTCTCTTTCTCCAGCACTTATCAGCCATTGCTCCCCTCCACTCTCTGGGCATTCCAAAAAGGCAGACATAGTATTCTGTTCCATTTTGCATACCCAGATCCCAGCACTCAACCTGGGAGATAATGAGGGCTCCCTAAAGCTTTGGTTGAAATCATGAATTAACTAATTTCAGTCTTCAGCCATCTAACGTTATTGTTGATTTTTGTCTCCTGCATCTTCAGTTTGAAAACGAAATCATCCTGAAGCTGGACCACGAGGTGGAAGGGGGCCGGGGCGATGAGCAGTACATGCAGCTGCTGGAGTCAATGTAAGTCCAGTGCTTCCTGTACAGGAACAGCCTGTGAAGGTCGGGTGGGGTGGGGGGGCTCAGAACTCCAGGGGGCTCCAAGAGACTCTGTCCTCTCCTGGAGATCGATCTAGAGGCTCATGGGTGTGGGTAAAACTGCATTTTTGGAAGAAACCTCACATTTCTCTCTGCAGTGTCCAGTTTTTTTGGAACTGATAGAATGGGCCAGATGAAAAGAATCTTAGCTGTGTTGGAAAGAGGGAAATAATCCACCAAAATGTCTACTTTCGTTACATCTTAACTGTAGAATAATGGTTGCTATTTTTCCCTTCTTTTCTTAAATTTGTGACAGATGTTGGTCATGAACTACGTTTATTAAACGCACATAATAACTTAGCATGATATTGTGCAATGGGCTTTGTAATACCTCCTGTAATCACACTTACTCCTTTTGATGCCCATTTCACAGAGGTGGGCTCTGAGGCTGAGGGAAGTCAGCGCATTGTTCAGGGAAACTAGGACAAGATAGTGGAGTGGACAAGCCGCATCCTGAGCCTGGCTGTGCCGGACTCCAGCTCCCAGGCCAGGGCAGGCAGTGAACAGTGGACAGAGAACAATGCCCAGGACCACGGACTCGGAGTCAGGACATTGTTTAACAGCTTTCTCAAGATATAATTCACATGCCATACAATTTACCCAAAGGGTACAATTCATTGTCTCTGAGTATATTCACAGAGCTCTGTTACTAACCATCACCCCAATTTTACAACATTTTCATTACTCCTAAAAGGAAACCGTGCACCCCTTAGCCACTGCTCTGCCAACACGCACACACACACACACACACACACACACACACCCCACACACACAAACAGTCCCCCATCTTCCCTAGCCCTAGGCCACCATTACTCTTCATTCTGTCTTGCCTATAATATTTCCAAAGTTCATCCATGTTGTAGCATGTTTCATATTTAATATCTCTTAATTGCCAAATACTGTACCATACGGATGTACCCCATTTTGTTTATTAATCTCTCAGTTGATGTGCATTTAGGCTGTTTCCACTTTTTGACAATTAGTATTGATTCTGCCGTGAGCATACATGTACAAGTTTTTATGTGGACATACATTTACACTTCTCTTGAGTATATATCTAGCAATGGAATTGCTGGATCATATGGTACTTATATTTGACCTTTTGAGGAGCAACCAGACTATTTTCCAAACTGACAGTTCCATGTATATCTCTACCAGCAATGCATAAGGGTTCCAATTTCTCTACATTCTTGTTAACGCTTGTTAATATCTGTCTTATTGATTACAGCCACCCCAGCAGGTGTGCAATGATATCTCATTGTGGTTTCAAATTGCATTTCCGTGATGTGTAGAATTCATTGACTTTCAGTACGCTCACAGGGCTGTGCATCTTTCCATGTGCTTATCAGCCGCTTGTATATCTGTGAAGAAAGACATTGGGTTTTGGTCCTGGCTTTACCACTTAGCAGCTGCAAGACTTCACATGAATCACACATGTCTGGCCTCAGTATCCCCATTTCTGAAATAGGAATAATAAGCTCCTGTGGTTATCCTGAGAACTGAATAATTATAAAGCCTCTGGCACACAGCAGGTAAATACTTCATAAATATGCTTCCATCTCCAGGCCTTGCTCCCAGTTTCTGCCTTTGACAGCTTGGTAATTGCCCCCTTCTTCTGCAAGGCCTTCTCCTAAGGCTTAGGAACGTGGCCCAGACATCCCCAATTCTCACTAACTGTACATTCTCTGATTTGTACGATTCTCTGAGATCACTCTGGTTTAGATTCTTTCTCCAATCCTTTTCGAATATTTTAATTTCAAAACAAAAGCGAACTGAAGGCCTTGCTCTGACCCCCACAATGAGCCTCCCGACCCTGCCCAAGCAGGCAGAGCCCAGAGGGCAGGATGGTGCCCCAGGCAGTGCCCCTGTCCCCTTCCTGTCACCATGGATGGCCCTCACTAAACACCTAGAATGTAAATGCCATTTTGCCGGAAGGAGAAACCCACCATCTGCCCCTCAGGTGGATCTGGAGACTGATGTATCCAGGGGGAATAAACAATGTTCTGGCTGAGTCAGTGTTTATCTTAAAGTTCTAAACAAGAAAATCTAAATATTGACCAGACGTGAAGCCATGTATAGTGCTGGCAATTTCCATTTTTATAAGTGGATGGGGCTCTGCAGCGGTCTTAGATGATCAGCAGGGTTTTCAAATCCTTCTTGAGTGATGATTCATAAAAGAAGTCCTTAGAGGTCACGGAAATTAAAGATAGCTCATTATTTTTCTCCTGAGGTAGAGGTGTGAATGATTTTTACACAAAAGGAATCAAGCCTGACACAGGCAGCCAGGACCCCACCAGAACATCCATGGGGCCCCTGAGCCTGCTCCTTCCTTTCACCTCTCTGTGCCTCAGTTTTCTTATCTGAAAATGGGGGATAAAAATATGATCCAGCCCTTAGAGTTTTCTTTGGGATTAAATAAGAAAAATCATGTTACGTGCTCAGCACACTTTCTGATACTGAATAGATAGTCTAGCAATATTAATTATTAGTAGTACAGATTGATTATCCCTTATCTGAAATGCTTGGGACCAGAAGTGTTTTGGATTTGAATTTTTTTCCCCAGATTTTGAAATAATTATACTTAAAAGTAAAGTGTCCCTAATCTGAAAACCCAAAACCCATAAAGCTCCAGTGAGCATTTCCTTTGAGTGTCATGTTAGTTCTCAGAAGGTTTGGGTTTCACATTTTTAAATAAGGGACAGTCAACTTGTATTACTTACAGGTGGATAGCAGGATAATTATTTGAAGCCATGAGACAACCCATCTTTTCTCCCCCAGGCTAGTCATCTCAGTTCCTCCAGCCTTTCCTCTCAGCCCCTCATTCAACTCCACTGATACACAGGGCCTCCACTGGGCAGGTACAGTCCCGTGGGCACATAGCTTGGTAGTTGGATGGTGCCTTGGTGAATAGAACAGAGCTACTCACCCTGTGGCAACTGCAGCCTTGCATAAGAACACCAGGCTTAGGACATGGAGTGGGGCTGAATTTCAGTCCTCATGTGCTCTGCGCAGTGTACGAGCTGTATAAGCTTACACGGCACTCCCGTTCTCCCTACCCTCAGTGCTCTCCTTGGAGCCCACATTGATCCACGTGTATCTGAAAGTATGAGTCTCACCTTGAATGGAGTCCTAAGACACACCCCTGCCTTTCTCTATTTTATTCCTGGGAATAGTGCTACAAGTGGTGAGGCAACCGGAAGGCTGAAGGAGACAGATGTATGTTCTTGGGCCTTTAACCTACCCATACCCTTTCAATACCTGGAAGAGGACCTGTCACAGGTCATTTCATTTCATTTCAAGGAATGAAAGAAAGCCCAGTTTCATCAGCACTGACAGAGACTGGGAGTCTGGGCTCCTCCCTCTAAAAGCCTCCAGTACAGGTGCAAATCAATTGCAGGGAGGAGGGAGCTCCCTCTAGTCATCCCAGGACAGGAGCAGAAGCAGTGTGGCAAGTGTCCACCACCCCTCATTCCACTGTGTGAGGAATTAGCTACATCTTCTCATAATCCCCAAAGCTTTTTTATTGTCACTTATACTCTGTTGTGGGATTATAAGGTAAACAAACAGGCTTAGCATGCAGTCTGGAACAGAGGAAGTACTCAATAAGTGGTAATATCATTATATATTATGGTTAATTTTTATCTGTGTTTTACTTGCTAGACTGTGATCTCCTGGAACTCTGAATCCCTAGTTTCTAGAATGCTACATGTTGAGTGGAAGGTTGGATAGTGGATAAATGGGTCCTTTCTAGCCAATTTTCCCATCCATGTCATCAATCCTAGATGGTAGGAGCACCTTTCTTGCTTCATGCATAAAAAATAGAAAAAGAAAGAAAGCCAAGACCTTTTTCTTCAAAACCCTGGTTTCTCAAAGTGTGGTCCATGGACCAGTAGCATTGGCACTGCCTGGGAGCTTGTTAGTAAGGCAGCTGCTCAGGAACCAGCCCAGATGTGATGAATCAGAATCTGTTATTAACACAATGCCCCAGTGATTCCCATGCACATGGAAGCTTGCAAACCCCTGGACAAAACCAGTTGTTCTTAATGTTAGTTGCATGCTGGCATCTCCTAGAGAACATAAAAAGTAAAGTACTGCTGCCTGGGGCTCATCGACAAAGACTCCAAAGTTATTGACCTAGGTTGGGCATTGGGCTTTGTGAACGCTCCCCTGGTGATTCTATCATGTGACCAGGGCTGAGAACTTCAGATCTGGCCAAGCTCAGACCCTGAGATGTCTCCTGCTCATGAAGGCTTTGAAAAAATCACACGCCAAACACTGGGAAGAAACTTTGTTGCATTGTCATTAGAGTGGCACACAGGGCTAGAAGTGACTGCCCCAGAAGGAGGCATGCACAGCTGTGGCTGAGCCAGACAGGTCTAAATCACAGGGCCATATGCATCTCCCATTGAGAGCCAGGGAACAGTGCTTCTCCCAGAGTGAAGATGGATTTGTCTCATCACAGCCACAGTTTGAGACGTCACCTTCTTGCAGCTTGGCTTGGCTTCTTGGAGGAAATGACCCTCTGAAGTCCTTGCTTTTCTTACCTTTATCCTCCTAAGGGCCCCTGGGGAGTTCAAGTCCATGGGGAGAGGAGACAGATACAAATCATGTGGCCTGCATAATGCTTGCCTACTTGAGATGCGTGAGAACATGCTGTGGGGTTTCTCTGTGGGAAGAATATCTCCCCTAAATTTAACAATGATTGGCTTGATTCTTAATGTCACCATTGAAACTTAGAGTGATATTGGGAAGGTCCTTTAATCTTTCTCAGCCTTCATTTCTTCACCTGTAAAATGGGGGGAGTAATTCTCACTTTTCAGAATTACTGTGAGGATTTCTTAAGAAAAGTGATTAGTACAGTGTCTGGCACAGAATAAGTAATTAAGAAGAAACAGTCATCAAACAAAATTTTAACCCATCTGTTTCTCCCCACCTAGCCTGTGGGCTGCCAGACAGACAGTAGGTGTGGTTCTTTTTTTATATTGATATCTTTCTCCCCACCACACAATGCCTAGCAACTAACAGATGCTTAATGATGTTACGTTTTTATTTTTGTTTTTAAAATTTAGAATACTAATACAATAAATTTTATAATTAAAAAAAATAATTTACATATAGTTAAATAGAAAAACTGAGGCTTTTTTTCCCCCCTTTTTCCACCTAAAGCCTTGTTGGAAACAACCATCACTATGAGTTTGATGTCTGTCCTTGCTGACTGTACATGGCATTTTATAAGCATGCAGAGACACATGATTCGCATGTGTACTTGTGCACACATGCAGTGTTTGGTGTTGGAGACATGGATGCTGGAGCCAGACTGTTTGATATTCCCAACCATGTGACCTTGGACAAGTTAATGGACCTCTCCATGCCTTAGTTTCCCTATGTACAAAAGTCCCATCTCATAAAACTGTGACAGGCGGTTAAATGAGTTACCATTTGCATGTGGTTTAGAAGAACAGCTGGGCCATGCTAAGCTCTATGTCAGTTGGTTAAATAAAAACAAATATTGTTCTGAGACTTACTTTTCTCACCTAGTTCTATGTCTTATAGAGCTTTTCATGCCAAAACATATTTAAACTCTCTAATATTTTTAATGTCTTCATAGAATTTTGTTTGGTGAATATACTGTAATTTATTTAGGCATTTCCCAATTGATGAACATTTAAGATAGTTCCATCTATTTCACTATTAGACATAATTTGTGAGTATTATAAATATATCTTTGCATACTTCTGGGAATATTTCTGTAGAACAGATTCCCCAAAGTAGAGTTGTGGGACAGAGGATATGTGCATTTAAAATTTTGACAGATACTATGAAAATTGCTTCCCAAAAAGTTTTGTTGATTTATTCTCAGCAGGGGTAGGTGAAAGTGACCATCTCCCCCACCATCATCACCTATATTGGAAACTATTTTATTTTTTTTCCATTCTGATGTTAGGAAAAAAAAAAAAACACTTGTTGCACTATATGGCTACATCCATGAATAAATGAACAAAAGGAGCAGTCAGGGGAACATGGGTTAACTGACTGATTTTGCATGTGCTCCATCCCACCACCCACTGGCCCCAGCATGGTCTTTCTCCCCAGCCGTGAGCTCACTGCCCTCTGGTCTCTGCCACAGCCTGATGGAGTGTGCAGCAGAGCACCCGTCCATTGCCAAGTCAGTGGAGAACTTCGTGAACCTGGTCAAAGGCCTCCTGGAGAAGCTGCTGGATTACCGGGGCGTGATGACGGATGAGAGCAAAGACAACCGCATGAGCTGCACTGTGAACCTGCTGGTGCGTGGGGCTGGCAGGTCCAAGTCAGACCAGAACCCGGTGATGGGGGTGGGCTTGGCTTTGGGTCTCATGATTGTTCTTCATAGGGAAGAAGTGCTTAAGAGCTTTGGAAAGCAGACAAATGTGGAATGGAACATCTGCTGTGCTATCTGCTAGCTCTGTGTCTTGAGGCCATCACTTCACCTTTCTATGCCTCAGTTTCCTTATTTATAACATGGGATTAATACATATTCCCTTTAGCACTCAACACATCACATAGAAAGAAGATGGCACTTTAGACTGGCTGAGAGTGTGAGCTTTGGAGTCTTACAGCCTCTAGGTTTTTATCCTGTGTCCGATAATTAATATGATGGACAAGCTAAGAAAATGCTCTGAAGTCTTAGTTAGCTTATCTATTACATGGAGAAAATAATGGTTCCAATTTCATTAGGTTGTGTTGTCCTGGCCTATGGTTAAATGCTCAGTATGTTAGTTTCCTTCTTCTTATAAAATGGAGTCGCACTAATAAATAGAATTGCTGTCACTATGAATCAGCTTAACCAGAGAAGCTAATCCTAGACCCAAGCTCTTAACCCCTACATTCCATGAGCTCCCATGGGCTGGCTGCCAAACAGCCTCTCTTACATGCTCTGTGATTCGATCAGGAGACAGGTAGGTAAGCAGCCATAACACGTCATACTTACCATGTCATCCCACCTGAAAATGGTTTAAAAGAATGAAGTTGACCAAAAGGCCATGTGGCATCTGTCACATCAACCTCCCTACCATTCCCAAGGCTCCCGACATACAAACCCTGTCCCCATAGCTCTGTTGTGTGGTGTCCTTTACCCTAAGTGGACTTTATTTTAAAAGCCTAGATATTGCCATTGATTTTCCAGAATGCCAAGGAGAGTTTGAAAATCCTAATGACAGCAGAAAGGAATCCATTGCTAATAACTCCACCAGGCCCAATTTACATAAAGATAATGAAGAGGGGCTTTCCGGGAGCTGAGCAGCCTCTCTCTAAGGAGAGACAGAGTTGATTGAGGAAAATGACCTTTAACAGCCAGCTATGACCAGGGAGAATGCTTGAGACAGAGAGTTCTCCAAGCAGTAGACAGCACTAGTTGTTGATGTGCTACTTAAATATGGTGTCAAGGAGGAGGGTGGGGAGGGAGGTGACATCAGGACAGCTGATGCCCAGTATGATTTGCTACCCATTGGCTGTGTGCTCTGGCATATGTCTTTCTGAGCCTCAGGTGCACATGGGTGTGCTGGATTAAACTAGGATATGCATCTGGTATGTCTCATGGACTGGACCAGGACCACCTGGCTCAGAATCTGTAAGGACTTGTTTTAAAAATGCCACAGGATTAGGATCTCTGGTGGTGAAGTCCAGGGCAACTACTAGTCTAAATGACACCTGAGCTGGAATAGGGACCCAGATTCCTGTGTATTGCCAAGTTTAAATGTGTTGGCTGCACAGTCCCATCGTAACTTCTGAGAGTTCTGCACTGTCAGGAACTCTGATCTCTTACTATTACTGAGGTGCTATTGCTCACTTTCCAACTCAGGTTCTTTCCAGCACAAGGCCTGAGTGTTGAAACATCAAGCTGGGCTGCCTTTCAAAGTGGGCTTGGTCAAAGTAGACTACACCAGTCTTGGTAGCCCACCTCTGAATGCAGCAAAAAACTGAACTGCACCTCCTGATATGCAATGGCTGAGGCACATCAAGTCCTCTGATTCTTTGTAGTCTAAGCATCAGAAAAGTGACTTTCAAAGCAAAATCTTCCAATTAGGCTGTTTGATGCATCTTTGGTGCATCTAGGAAAATAAATTTCCTGTTCCTATCTCAGGGTACCCAGATAGTAAACAATACTGTTCCTGTCATCTTCATCACTACACCCTTGACTTCTGTGACATTACAAAGAACAATACTCATCATTGTTTTTCCTCCTCTACCTAGAATTTCTACAAAGATAACAACAGGGAGGAAATGTACATAAGGTAAGATTTGTGTTTTCTAAAATCCAGACCTGCTGTGTAACTTTCCTGCTCAGTATCCATCGACAGCTCCCTGTTGCCTTCAGGATAAAATTTAAACTTCTCTTCTTGACATTCAGGCCCTCTGTGTTCTGATTCCTGTCAATTTCCCCAGATTCAACTGCTTTCATTTTCCCGCAGTCAGCCCCATAAAACCACGTGAAATTTTTTGGCCATCCACGCTGTCCTATTGATCTTATTTTCACAGATCATATTTTCCTTAAGAGTAAATACTTTGTGGCTTGAGCTGTTAAGCTGCATTTGCATTGTTGCAGGGGTGACCTTGGATAAATTGCTGTGAAGCCCTAGTCCAAGCATGTAGTAAGACCATTGGCTAGCCCAGTTTTGAAGGGGAAAAAATATTAAGATGCATGATGTCTGCATCTTTGTAGGCATTTAAACGACATTATTTGAATATATCATGAAGGGTTTTTTTTTGAGGGGGACATTAGCCTAGAGCAAAGAACTCCTTTGCCAATTTTTCTCAGAATCTCATATTTTTTCCGGCAATTTTTTATGATTGTTACTTTTACTTATAATAAAAATATATACTTATTACAAAACAAAAATAAACTCATAAATTAAAGATAAGCAACACAAAAAAATGAAATAAATTTCCATAGTCATCTATATTTCCAGATCTTTTTATATTTACATATACATTGAATTCTATGCATGCATATTTTTTGCAAAAATGGTTTTATATTACTCATAATTTATTCTTTGCTTTTTCTAACTCGACAAGCATTCTATTTCAACAGATGTATATCAACATCATTTTAAATGAAATTATAACAATTTTTTCCAGAATATACCATCATTTATATAGCCAGTTCTAGACTATTGAACATTTAGGTTGTTTCCAACTTTTTTCTACAATAAAGAGCACAACCACAAAATGCCTAGACATATGCCTTTATGCACACCCTTATGAGGCTGGAACCTTTGAGGCAGAGTCAACCAGAAGATTGGGGAGCAAGGTGTTTATGGGGCCTTTGTCACATTCTGTCAAAGGGCAGAGATTTCAAGCCTACACTCACTCTGCTATTACTGCAGATATAGTTAGGTACCTAGTTTAGCATTACTCCAGAAATAGGAGCTATCATTTGGAGAAAAACTAGTTTTATAGGTTGTCCTGCGTTTGGGATATTTGTAACATCGTTAGTCATACGTTAATGTAGCAGTGCAAAGCTTTGGGGTGTACAGAACCTAGGTCCTCGTTTTTTCTGTGATCCTGGGTAAATTACTTAAATTACTCAGTCTTTCTGAGTTGAGGTTTCCCTACCTGGAGAGTGTTTCCTCCCTACCTTCTGTTTTGAGGATGAAATGAAGTACTATAGGTAGTATGCCCGCCACATGGTTTCCTTCCTCCAACCTTGTTTCTCTCCTTCTCATCTTAGAAACACAGATGGCAAATCCCAGACCTCCACAAGCTTTGGAGATTTGAGGCCCGCAGTAATCCAGGAAAACCATATTTGTCTAAACCAGACTGCAAACAGGGTATAGTCTGAAAATCTGTTCTGTTTGGCAGGCAGAATATTTAAAAACATTTTTAATTGGCTGCCAAAATTTAAAAATCTAGATATTTTACATAAAAATCAAGATTTCCTTTTTCTCCTGGAAAAACTAAGATGGTGTGACAACACTGGGCCCTCATCCTATTCTGACGATTGCTAGCTGAACTGGTGGTGGCAGCCGGCCTAGACAGGGCTGGAGCACTGCAGTCACGACACCATCTCTATTCCCTATTCTGTTTCTCCCTGTCCACCTCGCTCAAGCACCTGGCATCTGGAGGTGTTTGAGTTTGGTATCCTTGGTTGAGGGATGTCTTCTTTTTTATTAGGGTATCTTCTTCTGTGTTCTGTAGCAGATCATCAGACCCTTGAGTTAACAAAGAGGAGGAGAGAGTGCCAAAGGAGGAGTTGAAAATGGCAGGGAAGCTCTCCCTGGGCTGCTCTCCCCAAGTTTTTTGGACTCAGCCATCTAGGGGTCTGAGGCATAAAGGATGGGCAGGAGGAGATAAGGCAGAATAAAGCCATGTATGCACACAGAGGTGTTTCTAAATTTCAAACTCTCTACATGGAGTCCATGGTTAACTCTGATTAGCAGAACATTAGGCGGGAGGAGAGTGGAAAAGCTATGTCTGTGAAAGCAGAAATCACTGAGCTTGAAATCTGCTTCTACCTATTTCTGGCTCTGGCTCTTTTAACCTACATCTTAGTTTTCTCATCTTAATAGTGTTGTTGGAAGGATGAATTGATAAAAATACCTGATAATAAAACATCCATTTGTTGAATGAATGAACGAATGAATGAAAAAATGTTTCTGCCTGGGAAGCTCTCCCAACTCATCCCCTTCCCCTTCAGATCAACTGTTATGCCATAGGAACCTTTCTAGAAGCCCCTTTTCTCGCCACCTGGATAAAGCCTGCTGTCTTAGTACCATAGCCCACTCCTTCACAATACACATCATCACTGTGTTCTTGCAGTTATGTATCTGATGATTTGATTCACGTCTGTCTCTTCTCCTAGACTCTAAATCCCAAACCATGAGAACAATGCCTGCTTTTGTCAATGTTTATCTCTAAGGCCTGGTACAGCCTGGATGCCCAGTACAGCTCTGCTGAATGAATAAGTGAATGAACAAAAGGTTGCCAGGGCATCCCGGCACACCAGCTGTCAAATCACCACTAGGTGACCTTTCCTCGCCTCAAAATCTTTGGCAGTCCCTACCCTGACTTCAGAAAGCCTACGTTTGACCCACTGGCCCGTTTTATGTGTCCAGGAACACTGAACATTAGCTTCTCCTTTGGTGAGCTTTGTGCAATAAACCTTTTTCCCAACAGCAACATAAACCTGAGCATTGAGACGCTCATTGAGTGCAGATGCCCGAGAAACACTATGTTCCCTGGTGTGAGACAATGGGTCAGGGTGGAATGTTGGCACCATGGCAGGCATTCCCTGCCTTTCTTCTCACAGGAAAAAATCAGCATATCCCCTCACCACATTACATAGAGTAGGGTTTAAATAAATCCTCCTAATGATATGCAGGTCACCAAAGCAGTGGTTCATTGCCTCTGGATTCTGTTTCCAACGGTGGCAGGAGAGAATGTTTTATAGAGAAATCTAGTTCACAGTGATAATGGATAACAGCTGTTGCTGCTCAGTGCTGGCGAGAGGCTAATCACTTTCAGTGCATACTTGTGTTTCATGGCGGTAATGTGAGCTGTCGCATATTGAGCCTTTTGTAAGACACACATGGTCTCCTTGGCCCTTTATATGCCCAATCACTTTATAGATAGGTTCTGTGAGTGTTGCCATTTTACAGATGAGCAAATAAAGTACAGAGAAGTTAATTCACTGCCCTTAATACCTATTATGGATCAGTTATCAAGCATTTTCCAAAGCATCCCTTCTTTCTCCTTGTTCCCATCCTCAGTACCCCTCAGTTATATTGCCATCTCATGGTTCATAACTGGGATCTCACTCTTCAAAGAAACAGGAAGTTAAAATGTGACTACAGTCAAATACCTAACTCCTCCTACTGACAGCTCAAGGTCTCTATATGAATATCTATTCTCCAGCCTCTACTTCCTTTTATTACTAAAAAATGCACTTACTTATACCCAGAGACTCTGCAGAGAAGGGTAGGAACTGCCCCTTACAGCTGCTGTGGCTCGTTCATACTCTTGTAATGACACAGTGATTAAGGGTAGGAATCATGTCCTGACGCTTCTGTTTATTAGCACAGAAATCTTGATAAATTGTCTCTCTCTCCTTCCTTTATTTCTCTTGTTTGTCATATTGCATTGGCCAGACTATTCTTTATCAAGTTGCATGTTAGCTGGGATGGCACTTAACTTGTCCAGGCCATCATTCTCTTGTCTGAAAATAGTAATTCCTGAGACTCATCTCACAGGTTTGCCATGAAGATTAAGTAATCTAAGAAATTTAAAATACTTAGCATAGTACCTGGCATGCACTAAGTACCCAACACACACTAGGTTCTGTCATTATCACCTACACAAAGGGCTGGTTATCCAGGGAGGAAGATTTCTTGCAACCCATAGAGGTGCCCAGTTGTTCTCTGGGCTCCTGCTTGTTCCTGCTGGGTGTCTCCTTGTCACTGCACCTGGTAGTTGAGCATATTTTCCCTCAAACAGGTACCTGTACAAACTCCGCGATCTTCACCTGGACTGCGAGAATTACACAGAGGCTGCCTACACGCTCCTTCTCCACACCTGGCTTCTCAAGGTACTGTCACTTTGGGTGAGGGGTATTTATGCTGGGATCCTAACAGGGCCTCACAGCAAGTCGAAGAGTGAAAAAAGAAAAAAAGAATAATAATCGAAATAAATTTTGTTTTACCCTGTGTCCAAACTCTTGAACTAGCAGGATGCTTTTTGCACTGCTTCCCCAGTCACATGTGGTTTTGAGTGATCTTTACATTTAGCAACAACACCCCCTCCGAGATATGTTTTGCAGTTTTGTATAATATCTAAACCGCTATTAACAGTAAATCATTGGCATGCCCACTAAGTTGCATTCCTTCTTTCGAGAACTTAGCTGTAACTGGGAAAAAAATCAGAATGATTTCCTTTGGCTTTGGGAGAGCTGGGAGCATGTCTCTTAGGGGTTCAGAGTAAATCCCTACAAACCACATGCACAGAGCCAATAAGGAATAAGATAAGTGCAAATCAACAAAAATCAGGAGACTTCACAAGTGAAAATGGCAGCCCAGTGTCTCTCTGACTGACCATTGGCACCCAGGACCGGGGCGGGGGCTAGCAGAGGGGAGGGTGTTTGCAGGGCTTCGTCTCACTCCTAATCACTGTGGTTTTAATATTTCATATTCTCTCATTTGACTGTTTGGGAACTTGGGACATTAGTGCTGCCTGGAAGGCAACCTCCAAATATCCTATTCATGCCTCAAAAGGGCAGCCTCCCCGGTGGTACCCCAAGTTTCCAGAAATGAGCTGAGTTTGAGACAGAAGGAGAGATGGAAAGGACAGGGTGTGGGGAGGGTGGTTTCTGCCTTTAATCCTGGGAAGACACCTGCTCTTGGCAGTCTCTCAGCCCTGTGTGACTTCCCATGTCTTTTCTTCACAGTGGTCAGATGAACAGTGTGCATCGCAGGTCATGCAGACAGGCCTGCAGCATCCCCAGACACACCGGCAGCTCAAGGAGACACTCTACGAGACCATCATAGGCTACTTTGACAAAGGAAAGGTAATCTGTCCCTGCCCCTTCTCTCTGTGGGGACCCTGGCTACTGGAAGGATGGTTCTCTCCCATACCCTACATCCAGTCCATCTTCAGCTCTGTCAGGTATCCCTCCAAATCCTAACTCTGATCACTTCTCTCCATCTCCTCTTTATCTCCATTACTTCCACCTCCATGTAAGGCACTGACATCACTCACCTGGGCACTGTGATGGATCCTAAATAATTTTCCTGCTTCCTCCACTACCCCCAACAGATCATCCTCCATATAGCAAATAGGATGATCATAAAACATAGGTTGGATTATGTCATTCCTCTGCTTGTAATTTCTCAACTGCTCCCCCAACCTACTTAAAACAAATTGCACAATCCTTTCCATGGCCCACAAGACCCCACATGAGCTGTGCCCTCTTATCATTCCATGCCTGCTGGGGTCTCTCTTGTTCACATGCTCTATGCCAAGCTCTTTTCAAACTCAGGGGCTTTGCACTTGCTTTTCCCGGCTGGAAGCATTCCTCCATCATAGCTGCTCACTGGAAGGCTGGGCTTCATTTGGATGTCACATGCTACGGAAGCCTTCCCTGACCACCACTAGACAAACGAGCAATACCCCTGCCCCAAGTTACCCTTATGGCTTCTTCAGAGCACTTGTTCCCATGAGACATCATCTTGTTCATTTTCTTTTTACTTGTTTATTCTCTGGCTCCCTAATTTAAAATGCCATGAGAGCAGACACTTGTCTTGTTCACTGCTAAATGCCCAGTGACTAGGATAGAACACAGAACGTAGGACATAGTTCCCAGTGAATATGTAGGCCTGTGTCCTAAGCTCTGTTCCAGTCACTGGGCACTCATAAATGAATAAACTGAATGGATGAATAACATGCAGTGTCATCCTTGATCTTTAAACAGCAAGGATGCTTGGTTGGGTTTGGTCAGGAGTTTGGCCAGACCAGCTGCTGCCCAGCTCCAGCTTCTAGTGGACCTTCAGGAGGTACCAGCCCCCAAACTGCCATGCACCCTATAGAAAACATTGCTCAGTGGTCACATGCGCAAGCTCTGGGGCCAGATGGCCCAGCTGCAATCCTTGCTCCTCTACCACCCACCCTTACCTTGACCTAAGAGACTCCAATTCCCCATCCATAACAGCGAGATACTAATAGTACTTTCTTTCTAGTGTACTATGAAAATTGAGTGAGAAAATGCATGTAGAGCACCTGGCCTAGGACCTAGTGCCTAGTAATAGCTGGTGAAACATCAGTAATCACCACCATTACCCTACTCCCCCCTTCCTCTCTCAAGCCTTTCTTGAGTCCTCTGGCTTACCCGCAGCCCTCTCTCTCCTCTTCATTCCAAGACCTCTTACAGTTCATCAGGACATAAGTTAGCACCTAATTTGGCTCTGTCCTGTCACTGCAGTTTATTGCAACTGTCTTAGTCAGATCCCTCCACCTTCTCTGGAAAGATAAAATGAGATAATGTCTGTGGAAGGGCTTATAAATTCCCAAGGCTCAAGCAGTTGGAGAGCACTGTTTTCATAATTTACAATTATAAGCATCTTGAGGGCAGAGATGCTGCCATCCCTTGAACCTCCTGCCCTGCTGGGTGTCAGGTCAGAGCTTACTATTTGTTATCAGCTGATTAGGTAGGTTGCAGTGTAAGAGCCCAAAAGTACATGTTGAGCTTTGTCCTCAGCAAGATATGCAGTTCAGCCCACTCTGTGATGAGCAGAGAGGAAAAAGGCATGATCCCCAACCTCCCAAGAACTTACTGTCTAGTGGGCAAAACAGACATGTCAATAGTAATATTTTTGCATTGACCTTTGGCATTATGCAATAATGGGGAAAAGGGCAAGGGGACAGGGTGGTGCCAGAGTACTTTGGGAGCAGAGAGGAGGGAGCAGATGGATACAGCTTACCCTGAAAGCCATTGCAATGGAAGCTTCTAGAAGGAAGCCCAAACTCCTCAGCACACCCTCAGCTTTCCTTCCCCACACCTCCTCAGGGAGACTCATTGCTCCAGGCACACACGCTAGCTTTCTGTTTATCTTGCGATCACTTGATGGACTCCTCTAAATTCCTCAAAACCAAACGATTTCACCTATTGATATATATGCTTTGTCCACTTATATTCCATCAGAGTAGAGTCTGTGTCTTGTCCATCTTTGTATCTGTTTCATTACTGTACACCACACCATGCCCAGAACCCACCATGTGCCTAATAATGAATGTGTAAGACTCAGAGGAATCAGTGACTGTCAGAGATGCCAGTGGCCACATAGGCGGAACTGGGAGGAAATCCCAGGTACCTGACTTCCTGCCGTACCTCTTCCCTGATCTCTTAGTGATCTCATAATTCATGGGGAGAGCACTTCTTTTCCCTGTTCATATTACAGTGAGAAGTAGACAAAGACCTATACTTGAGCCCAACACTCCCCTGGCCCAGCCCAGGGGGATTACCCCAACCTTCTGGCGCAGGATGAAGAGAAAACCCCAGCCTGGCCTGTACACTTGGTTCCTCCTCCTAGCACATAAAGCATTTTTATGCTGCTTGCTAAGCTGTCCGTGGGTTTACAGCCGTGGCTTCTCCGCTCGGCACTTGGTTTTATTTATTTTTATGCTTGGATGCAGAGAGAGCACTTTTGCTACACAGCTCGCACTGACTGCATTTTGGCAACCTCCCCTCTCTCCTCCTCCTACCTCCCCCAGCATCTCCATTTAGGTGCATTTTCCATTTTAAACTGAAGGTGAAATGTAATGGGTATCCCTTGAGATTGCCAGCCTCCAGTCCGCCCTGCACCCCCCTGACTCTGCAAAGGTTCCTGACCTCCTTCGGTCTCAAAGAGTGAGGTGATCTATTGACTGTTGTCTAAAACAGAGCAGAGAAGTGTCCGCTATATCTAGGGTTTGCTTGTTTACAATCTTTTCTCTTAAGATGGAGAAGACCTACTATTAAAAAAAAAAAAAAAAGTCTTGTCCTCTGAATATTCTAGCACCACCCCATTTCCACCTCTATGCTACCTGACTCCTTACTCCCATACATCAAATAAGCCCATTTAAAAAAGACGGGATTGGCAGAGTAGAAGAACCCCAGGACTGAATATCAGGAAAACTGGGGCCTGGCCCCAACTTTGCCCCAAGAAACTCTGACCTTGGGCCGCCTTGTTCACTTCTCTGTGAACCATTTCTCCTTGGAAAAGGGGGCAACACCGCCCTGAGGAGGCTGAGAAAATCAAAGGTTTCATTCATTAAACATGAATGTGGGAGGCAGGGACTGCAGAGTAAGGCCTTGGAGACACACAAGGGGGCTTGTGTCCTGATTCTGCTTCCTGTGAGGCATCTGACCTGGGGCGGGCTACTGAGCCTCTCTGAGCCTGTGTCTCTCACCTGGACAGTGAAGATGCTGTCAGTTACCTCTCAGAGTGGTTGTCAAGAATCAGAGAGCACATAAATTAACGGTTTAGCCTCATCTGTGCCTACTCAATTATTTATCAAGAAACTCGTGTGAGAGGCCAGAGGAAGGTTGTCCTCTCTGGGAAGCCCCCTGGCCCCCCTCTGTATGGGGGATGGGTCCCGGTCAGAACGAGGTTTCCACTGAGTCCCAGGAAGTACAGCTAAGTCTGGGTCCCTTCCTCAGCAAAGGCCCTGCAAACCTGGAGGTGCTGCCTAACCTCTGTCCCTCTGACCTTCCTGTAGATGTGGGAAGAGGCCATCAGTCTGTGCAAGGAGCTGGCGGAACAGTATGAGATGGAGATCTTTGACTATGAGCTGCTCAGCCAGAACCTGGTAAGGCATCCCCTGGGGAAGGCTGAAGGGCCTGCAGGGTGGGTGCTTAGGGCCTCAGCTGACCCCAGATCCTGGGGAGAGGGGGATGAGGGCCAGGTAGTATTAGGGAAATAGAAAATGAATGGAAGTAGGACCTGAACGAGGCTGTACTCAGCATCTCCCTTCCCGTTGGGAATATTCCCAAAGAGAGATGTTTTGGGGAAATGCTTTGGGGACAGCTTCTCGGAGGGAGCATTCAGTAGCTGCATGAGGCTGTGACTGCCACTGCTGCTGCAGCCCCAATAAACGCTACATTTGCAGTAAAAGTTCCACAAATCACTAAACCAATTAAATAAAAACACAAATTTGTGCTTTCTGATTAACAGATAAATCACATTAAAATGCTCCCCATCTGGCTACTCCCATTAGCATCTCGATGCTCAGGATTTGGTGGGGGAACTGTGGAGAGTGAGGGAAGCCAGCCCCAGCCCATCCTGCCTGTACTGCAGAAGCCTAGGTTTGGCGGGCAGTTGGACTCTGCAGGGAAATGCAGAACTTTTTGGCTGCTTCCCTCCTGCCCACACTTCCCACATATTTTCTGGCTGCCTGAGCAGCAGGACCCCAGGGACCCCTCTTAGCCCATTTAGAGAGGCCAGGCCAGTGACTTACAGAGCCGGAATGTTAAGAGAGGATCGATAGCTTTTGCTGGGGGGAAGGTATGGTGATCTTGTTACAAACAACCGAGCTGTTAACTGTTTTCACTGTTTGTAAGATATTACACAAACAAACACACATGTGTTTGCACCAAGTGACACCTGATATCTGTCCCCCATGTACTTCTACATAGGTGTTTGCCAACCCTATGCCCAAGGCAGACAGACAGACAGACAGACACACGCACACACACTCACACACACACACACCCAGGATACATTCAGGCACACACTAATGTATGTGCACACACCTGCACAGAGTCCACATCACACAGGCACTTGTCTAGATCAACATACATCTTCCAGGTTGTATCAAATTGAAGATGCAAATCGATCATGACATGCACCATTCTTTTTATTGTGCCATGTCATGATTCCTTTAGGACCAGCTGCAGTTATAAGATACATTAGGTGTAAAGTAAGATTCGGACTATTTCCACAGATGTTAAAATATGAAAAACACATACCTCTTAGAATAGATGAAATGTCTTAGGTATACATACACAGAAAAACATTTATATCTGGGGGCTTTTATTTGTTCCTATAGCCTCAGAAATCCATGCCCAAGTGTGCATGGAGGTGGGAGCAGAGATGCAACAATGGGAACCCTGGATGCAGCTGACTGTGTTCAGCTCCATGCTTACTGGCTGCTTTAGGAGATACCATTTCTTTATCTGCAAAATGGAGATACTCATGGGATTGTTACAAGGATGATTCAAGTAACCACACTAGTGCAGGTAGAGTGATTAACACAGTCCCTGGTATACTGTAAATATAGCTATTACTATTGTGATTTTAGACATAGCACAGATATGCAAATATGTGCAAACAGCTCATTGGTTCTGGTGTAATGATAATGTCTTCACTATGGCCTCTTTGAGTTGAATGTGCCTTTGATACACATCTATATTGCAGCAAGCCTTGTTTTCTTCTTTTAGATCCAGCAGGCAAAATTCTATGAGAGCATCATGAAAATCCTCAGGCCTAAACCAGACTACTTTGCTGTTGGGTACTATGGCCAGGGATTTCCCTCTTTCCTGCGGGTGAGTTTGGGGATGACTTGGACAACAGGTGAGGGCCCCAGGGCCTTGGCATCTCAGTGATCCCTCTGTGCTTTGAGGATTTGCTTGTGCTCAGAGCAGTGCTCTTCTCTGTTTGAGCGCTGCCCCCACCCCCAGGAGACTCCCCAGTCAATCCCTAACACATAATCACCAGCATTTCTCATCTGCTATGTTTCTGTAACTACACAGCAACTATAGCTGTCTCGTGAGGTAGTGAGTTCCCCATCGCAGGAATGAGCTGTTCAAAGAGAGGCTGGAAGATGTTTTCTGACAAGAGGTTTGCTGCCAGGAGTTAATCTAGAGCAGTTGTTCTCTGACCTTTTGATTTCAGAACATTCTTTCTCCCTTAAAAATTATTAAGGACCTTGGCCAGGTGTGGTGGCTCAAGCCTGTAATCCCAGCACTTTGGGAGGCCAAGGCAGGCAGATCATGAGGTCAGGAGTTTGAGACCAGCCTGACCAACATTGTGAAACCCCATCTTTATTAAAAATAGAAAAATAGCTGGGCGTGGTGGCACATGGCTGTAATTCCAGCTGCTCAGGAGGCAGAGGTTGCGGTGAGCTGAGATTGTGCTACTGAACTCCAGCCAGGGTGACAGAGCAAGATTCCTCCAAAAAAAAAAAAAATATATTGAGGACCCCAAAGAACAGGTGTGTATATAGACAATCTCTATCTACATCTACCATGTGAGAAATTAAAACTAAGAAAATGTTTTTAAAAGTGTTCATTTATTTGAAAATAACAGTAATGGGCCAGGGATAATAGTGGTTGATGCCTGTAATCCCAGTATTTTGGGAGGCTGAGGTGGAGACTTGAGCTCAGGAGTTTGAGACCAGCCTGGGCAACATAGTGAAGCCCTATCTCTACAAAACAATACAAAAATTAGCTGGGCGTGGTAATCTGCACCTGTAATCCCAGTTATTTGGGGGCCTGAGACAGGAGGATCACTTGAACCCAGGAGATTGAGGCTACAGTGAGTCATGATGGAGCCACTGCATACCATCCAGCCTGGGTGGCAAAGAGAGACCCTGTCTCAAAAAATAAATAACATTTTAAAAATAAAAATAGCCATAGTAAATCCATTGCATGTTAACATAAATTGCAATTTTAGGAAAAATAGCTCTATTTTCCAATAAAAAAAATCGGTGAAAATCATGCAATTGCTTCATATTTCTGCAAATCTCTTTATTGTCTGACTTAAGACATATAGATTCTCACTTCTGCTTCTGCAATCTGTTGTGATCACACATCATGTAGCCTCGGAAGGCTCCATCATACACTCATGGGAGAATGAGAATAAAAAGGATAAATAACAGCTTTCATGTTATTGTGAAAACAGTGTGATCTTGTGGTTCCTGAGAGGGTCTTGGGAACCCCAGGCATCCCTGGAGCACAGTTTCTGAACTGCTGCTGTAGTGGCTTATTTACCCATCTTGTGGCAAATCAGATTTGGTCACCAGTAGGCTTCCTTCAGTCTGTGAGTCTGTGGTTCAATTCCAGGGTGAGGGAAATAGAAAAGAAATGACAAATCTGGTCTCCAACCTCACTTTATTTAGTCTAGGCAAGGAGATAAGTCACTCACAGTTACTAATCAACACTCAACATGGAAGTGAGAGTGGGCCCACAGGAGTGATTGCCACCAGCAGCAGAGAGGGGTGCGGGTTTCATGGATGAAGTAGAGATGGCTTCCCAAACATGGCTGTATGTCAGAGTCCCCTGGGGAACTTGTTGAAAGTGCAGACTCCTGGGTCCTACTCCCATAGATTCCATTGTAGCAGGTCTGGAGTGGGCCCTGGGAATCTGAATATGTAAAAGTCTCCTAGGCGTCTTGGATGATCAGCAGGTTTGGAAGCACTGATATGTAGAGATAAATGACAGATGTGTGTTTGAACAGAAGAACTTCGGGGCTGTTTGAGGCAGTATGGATGGCATAGATGTCTAGAACAGGGTTTCTCAACCTCAGCACGATTGATATTTTGGGCCTGATGATTCTTCATTGTGGGGCTGCGCTGTTCATCATAGGATGTCAGCAGCATCCCTAGCCTCTACCCTGCAGGTTCTAGTAGCATCCCCCACCCCCAGTTGTGACAACCAAAAAATGTTTCCAGACACTGCCGATGTCCCCTTGCAGGACAAAATCACCCTTAGTTGAGAACCACTGGTCTATAAGAGGCTAACATGGTCAGGAAGGGTAATGAGTATGTTTTCACAGGCTCAGAGCCAGAAGCCAGGTGATGATGAATATGAATGCTGAGCCCTTCCAGCCCATGGGTCCAGCCCACGTGGCCCACTACAGGCAAGGAGGAAATGTTGTAGGCATGTATGTAAGAGAGAGGCTGTGATATAGTGAAACCTGAGTGAGTAATTATTCTGGAAGCTATCTGTAGGGTGGTAAAAAGAAGAAAGTTCTCAGCATCCATGATCTTCCCTTCCTCTAGACCCAGACTCTTTAAAGCAGTGATGGCCTCTGCTAGGTCAGTGATTTGAGCCCTTCCTTCCTTTGTGGGGAAACCAAGAGGAGGGTGATGCACTGGAGGTGCCCACAGCCCATGCTCGGCTTTGGGTTCAGCTTTGCTTGGCCTCTTCCTTCACACCTGGGTCCCAGAATCTCTAATGAGTATCCTTTCTCTGCAGAACAAAGTGTTCATCTACCGAGGGAAGGAGTATGAGCGAAGAGAAGATTTCCAGATGCAGCTGATGACCCAGTTCCCCAACGCGGAGAAGATGAACACCACCTCTGCCCCTGGAGATGATGTGAAGAACGCTCCAGGCCAGTGTATCCTTGGAGAATGCCCTAGCCAAGGGGCCACACATGAGCAGCCCTGCCAGGGCTGCAGCCCACAAAGACCCACCTTAGAGCTCAGAGCTGCTGCCAGAATCATTGCAGTGGTGTCATATTGCAGGGACATGCAACACATTCTTTGGATCCATGTTCTTTGGATCCTTTTCTGGACTCTTCATGACCCTGGTATCTCAAGCTCTGTTTGCTTTGGAAGATTCGTCTCAATTTGCCATTGTCTTTGGTGCTTTTTTAAAGTGCATGAATATGACTAAAATGTCAGCCCTGTGAGGAAAGACGCTGCTCTGCCTTACTCTCTGTAGTAAGTCCCTGTCTCCCGTGGTGCCTGGTACAGAGTGACTCCCAGTAAATAATTGAGATGAGATCCAAAAAACCTATCTCTTTACATTGTAAATGTTGCATGCGTTGATTAAGTCACTCACCCATTCATTCTTGTATTGCATACTCTTAAGCCCTGACTCTATGCTAAGCAAGGTACAAGGGACTGGAGATTTTTGTTTGCAAAGTGGTCCTACGTTCAGGGAGCTTATAGTTTAGCTAGTAAAAGAGACATTAAGCGACTAATTGCTCTATTACATATTTATTTACAAAAATATAATCTGTGCCTAGAGGAAACCATGCTGAGTACTGTGGCTGGGAAAGGAAAGAAGGTTTCCTTGAGGAAGGTGATGTTTGAGGTGACAAATAACGAAAGCTTAGCAGCAGGTGGGGAGAATATCCCAGATGGAAGGAAGGATGCTTGTGTGCAGAGGCCTTCGACAGGAAAGAGCAGAGCAGGCTCCATGAACAGAAATGATGCCACACTGCCATTACAATAACATCAAAACTGCTAAGCAAGGCCTGCAAGGCCATCCATGATATGACCTCTGCCTGCCTGTCCAACATCATCGCCCCCATCCCTTCCTCACGTCCCTCTGACTGTGGTGGTCTTGTTTCTGTTCTTGCACTATGCCCAGCTTGTTTTCACCTCTGAGCATCCATAGTCTAGCTATTCCCTCTGCTTGGGATGCCCTTCCTTAGCTCCTTACATGACTAGCTCTCTCTTACCCATCAGATCCTAGCGTGGCGTCACCTTCTGGAAGAGGCCTGCCTGGACCTTTCTATTGGCTAGTGTAGCCTTTTCTGAGCTCTTCATGACCCTGGTATCCAAAGAAAAAAAGCTCTGTTTTCTTTGGAAAACCTGTCTCAACTTGCCATTATCCCTGCTGCTTTTTAAATGTACGTGGACGTGAGCTGGAATGTCAGCTCCATGAGGGAAGACGCTTGCTCCAGCTACCTCTCTGCAGTTAAGTCCCTATCTCCCTGATGCCTGGTACAAAGTGACTCCTGGTAAATATTTGTTGATTAATAGAAATAAAAAGACAACAACACAGAAAGAGGAAAGAAGAAAAGAGATAAACAGAGAGGGAGGAAGGAGGCAGAGAATAAGCCAGCTCATTTGGAGTATGCAGTACACAGAAGTCACATCGGATGATGCTGCAGTGTAGTGTAAGTGGGCACCAATGCAGCCAAGCATGGTGTTCAGTGGGCCAACAGCCGATGCTGGGCAATGGACAGGATTCATATGGCAGGGAGCAAAAAAACGCAGGGATAGGGACAACTGTTGAGCCCGGAAGCACATTAACTCAGCCTAGTTCCTGTCGTGGCACCCTTTAGCGCAAATTAAGTTACAGCCTTTAAAATGGGGTTGACAGGTTGCATGAGTGGTCTGCTATTCTTGAATCTAAATATTCTTCTCTCCGGTGGTAAATAGTCATCTGTAACCTTTTTGTTATGCTTGCCTGCCCTTGGTGCCTGCTCTACCATGGTTATTTGCAGGAGGAAATACAACTGGCGGTGGGCTGGGCTGGTTACAAATATGAATTTGGTTATAGGTGAGACACAGGATTAGTTCTAAGGTCTTTCTAAGTGGACATCCTGGGATTGAACAGCTCTGTGGCCATTTAACATGAGGCTGGGAAGACAGTACATGCTCCTGGGACATAATATCTCCCTAGTTTACTGCCAGGAGGCAGGTGCAAAAGAAAAGAGGGAGGGCTAATATTTGCTAAACATCCTTTTCATGGAACTGAGGACTTTATATCCATTATTTCTTTGAACCTCTTAAAATCCTATAAGGGAAGTGTTCATTTTACCTATTTCATGGAGAAGAAATATGTGGGGCAGAGATATAAAGTGGTTTGCCTAAGGTTACAAAGCTAGTTAGTGGGTACTTCATCCCCATGATCTGTCTGTCTCAAAACCTCTGTTCAAGTACACCATGCTTTTAAAAAGATTGATGAGCAGCATTCTCTTTATGAACTGTTTACGATGTACTAGGCAATTTACATGCATTGTTGTTTCACCCTCCAATACTTCTACAAGTTAGGTATTATTGCTTTCTGCATTTTGCTAATAGGAAAATTGGGGCTCACAGAATTTAAGCAGCTTGCACAAGGTCACAACTAGGAAGTGATGGAGCTGGGATTTGAACTCGGGCCTGCTTTTTGACAAAATATTGAGTTCTTAATGTTCTCTTCTCTTGCCTTCACTGGTTAAAAAGCTGATAAGCAGTCTGAGAGGGTGACAGATCTCATGTTTCCTCACTTAGGTATTCAAGTAGGGAATGACTATTAAAAGCCAAAGTATCTTTACAGGAAGTGAGCAGTTGCCCGGAACTCTGGGGCCCCAGTTCCATGCATACATTCAGCATGGGGCATAACAACCTCACCAGGCATCCTCCCAGCACAACTTCAGGGGATTCACGTCACGGGCTTCCCCAGGACGGGTTTGGATTCTCCTCTTGGACCAAGTCCAGTGGCTAAGATCAGTGAACATGACCTAGAACCTTCTCTAAAACAGGGGTCTGCAAACTTTTCTGAAAGGGATCAGATAGGCAATATTTCAGTCTTTGTGACCTATGTAGTCTCTATCACAACTACTCAACTCTGCTGTTGTAGTAGGAGAGCAGCCACTGATAACCCAAAAATGCATGGGCATTGCTGTGTTCCAGTAAAACTTTATAGACACTAAAATTTGAACTTTCTATCATTTTCACATCTCACAAAATATTCTTTTTCTCTCCATAGAAAACTTCTTAGCCTCTGGGCCTTACAAAAACAGGCAGTGAGCCAGATTTGACCATAGGGCCGTGGTTTGCCAACTCCTGCCCTAGACTTAATCCAGAGTAATTTTCTTCCCAGAGCAAGCTGTTGACCACATGGCTTAGAAAGAAAATCCTTTCCTGAGGATTGTAGAAATACTGCCATTGAGATTTATTCATTCATGTTAAACATTGTCCTCTCTTATGAAGAGAAATCTTCTATTTAAGGCAGAAATAGGGTTCAGAAGTAAATCAATGAAACCCCTAACATATTAGCATAGAGTAAGTTCATCAGAGAGAGGCAATTCAATTTAATTTGGAATGAGGTTTTGGTCATATCTTATGTGTGAAAGAACCATAGCCTCTGCCACGAAGAAGTTCACAATCTGGGCAGGGGATGGAGGGTGTGAGGTGGGCCGGGGGAAGGAGGAAGCCGACAGGAGCTGGAGAGTGCGTCCGTAGAGAAGCACAGACAAAGGCTGTGGAAAACCAAAGGAAGGAAAACAACTCCTAACTGGGGGGCGAATTTTGTTTTCACGGACTGTGGTATTTGACATCTGTCCAAAGAGTTCACAAGAGAGGGATACTGATGAGGGAAAAGCTTCCAAGCAAAGGGAATAGGATCCATTGGGTATCCAGACGATGATGAAAAAATGGGTGAAGGCCACATTGGCCTAGCTTTGAATGCCAGCCAGAAGAGTTATTGATTCCTTAGTTGGCAGACATGTCAGGCCTAGGCAAAGATTTTTTGGAGTCATGGTGGTCCTTGGGTAGAATAGAGGGAGGAAAGACCTTGAATACCCAAATAAGAGATGTTGATAAAGAAGAAATGGAAGGTAGGGAAAGAGAAGAGGGGGTCAGGGATAGGAACAGTGACCACTGACTTTGTTCATTCAGTTTGCCATATTGTCAGCTTACAAGGACTAAAGACAGATCTAGAAAAGGCATGACAAGAGTCTGACCCTCATAGTGCCTCTCCAATATCTCTGCTTGTTGCAGGCATTATTAATCCATCATGAGACTCTTTTCCACTGAATCTGAACACAGCTTCTTACAATCCTGCCTCAGGCAGTTGCTTTCAAATTTTGGGAGTTAGAGTGCAAAGTGACTTTGATTTGCATATTCTGTAGCAGTGCTTCTCACACTTTAGCATGCGTATTTATCACCCAAGGATCTGTTGCAGATTCTGGCTCCGTCCGTCCTCAGATAGGCCAAACAGTCTTCAATTCTAACAAACTCACAGGTCATGCTGACACTACTGGTCAGAGGGCCGCCTCTGAATAGCGAGTCTAGAATAAAAGAATTCTGAGCTAGAGTTAAGTTCAATACAAACCTGGATCTGTTCTGACAAGCTGTGTGACCTTCAACAAGTGGCCTGGCTTCTCTGACCTTGAAGGGGACAATTTAGGTTAATAATGCAACTCAGTGGAATTGAGGAGATCAAATGAGATCATGGGGAGATGTACTCTGCAATTGATTTGAGAGCTATTCATTCATTCGATGCATTATTGTTAATGATACTACAGCAGTGATGCTGATTAAACACCACTAGCCAACTCTGTTTGCAGGGCCTGAGCCCTAGGATGAGGTTGCAAGGTGACAGGTAGCACTGATAAGGACCTTAGTGACTAACTAGTCATCAGTGCCTCCTGGGCAGCCAGCAACCCGAGGGTGATCACTCAGTAAAAATGTGGGCCCATAAAGTCTGGCCTGGAAGGTCTCAGTTAGGACCTGCTATACTTAGAACCATCCCTACAGCTGACAGACATAAGTCCTTAACTACAGGGATTCCAGACATCCAGTGCTTCACTGTCCAGCCTGTCTTGGATGAACACCCCAGGTTCAAGAATAAGCCAGTGCCTGACCAGATTATAAAGTAAGACTCGTAGTCCACTGGGAAGAAGAATGGGGAAGATAACCCACTGGGGCCACCAAACTGAGCTGGTGGCAGAACAGATCCAGTGTCCTTCTAGTTCCTTCTCTGTCTTAGCCAGTTTGTTCCCCCTTTTCCTCTTCAGGCAAAGAATCACCCTCCAAGTAGCTGGGCTCTGCCCCTGCCAAGGCTGAAGCCAGAAAGGATGGGAGGGCTAGGGTTATGGCTCAGCAAATCCTTAGCAAGCATAGAGCATTTGCCCAACTGGATGTGGTCAGCCTGTTGGTTGCTCAGGTTGATCTCAGAGTGGCCCCAGGGAGTCCATAGCCAGAGTGTGGCTGGGCAAGTGATAGGCAGGATAGAGACAGGGGGCCTTGGCCATGCTCCACACATGCTCCCAGAGGGACATCTTCTCAGCATTTGTGAAGGCTATACATTGACAATGGCGTGCTTAGGCTCTGATAAAGGGACACTAGAGGAAGTGACGTGAAGGCTGATGTCCACCTTCTCTAGATCAGATTGTAAGGTCACTGATGAGGCCACGAGGTGGGGCACCTGTGGGACACAAGGCTGTATGCCTCCCAGCTGCTCAGCTCATTTTCCCGACTCCATGCCCAGGTTCTAATGGGGCACTTGAGTGTCTTAGAGTACATCCTCCCCTCTAGGTGGGACAGTCAGAAACAGGATGTGCTTTGCAAGGTGAAGGACCCTTCAGAGAGAGGCAGTCCCTCCCGGCAGCCTCACAAAGGGCCACAGCAGAGTAGGTGGAGCCAAGTTTGGGTCTCAGCCTCCCCCCTCCTTCTCACCTTCTTGGTCAGGCACCCATGCGCAGCAGACAATAACCATGCAGCTAGCACAGTGTCCTGCTGGCCCTGATGTTAGAATCTCACCAAGGATTCAAGAAGACTGATTTTGGGGGGCTGCCGGAGACACCTAAAGAAATCCTTTAAGGACACCACTGGGAAATTAGGCTCAGACCTTAGCTCCATCAATGTTGGAATTCAATTGCCTGGATACTCTAGGGGTACTATGTTCTCACAGGGGCATGAGGCCCGTCTACCTTCTAAATTGCCTTGCCAGGAAAGCCTGTGCAAGAATCACTCTTATGGAGCCCGGAACACAGACCTTGATTTTAAATGCCACCACAAGGGACTCTGCCAGGCCTGAAGTTTACTGTAATGAGCCCCCTTGGACAGTGCAGGGTCAGATCAGGTGTCAGCAGACAGACATGGCTACCAGGAGCCTCAGCCTCTTCCTGTCTTTCAGCTTCTACAAATCCAACTACGTGCAAAGATTCCACTACTCCCGACCCGTGCGCAGGGGGACCGTAGACCCGGAGAATGAGTTTGCCGTGAGTATCTTCCCTACCCTTGATCATTCCCTAGGGCCACCTGGAGGAACCAGAGCATGCATCAGCTGGCCTCAGAATGGGAAGGAACTTGATCCAAAGCCAGAGAAAATAAAGCTAACCGCCATGGATATGATGTCATCCATTCCCCGGTCTCTTCCATTAGGACTTGTCTCCTTAATTATTGAGCTTTTTTCCCTTTAATGCAGAGCCCGGGTCTCATGTCAGAGGCACCTTTTCAACCACAGGGCATTCAGGCATTTCCGGCAGGTAGAAACCCTCAGGCTAAGAAGGGGTGTTGATAAAGTCAAACCTTCCAGCAAACACCAGTAAGAAGCCACAGCAATTTAGTTATCACTGCCCTGTGAGTGCTAGTCTCCTCCGCGTGTGTCCAGCTAGAATATAAACAAGACTGGAATAAGGAGGTGTCTCCAAATTTCTCTTACCTCTTTGCCTGGGACTGTAATTCTTAATATTTTTGGAGCCACTGCCTCTTTGAGAATCTAATAAACACTGGGAACCCTTCCCCCAGAAAACTAACAGACACATTCAGTATTACCTAAAAATTCTGTCTGCTAATAAACCCTGGTTAAAATTTACTTGGCCTAAGTCCAGGGAGAGCTTAAACTTTACGTGGGGAAATAATTCTTAAGGGTAAGGTGAGAGCATGTTTCTGGGCCTTGCAATATTTATTCTGCTTTCAGTAGATGGGAGGCCTGGGGACCTGGCTGGGTTTCTGCCAAGCTTCTCTGATACCCAGGTTTCATAAATGTGTTTGTCGCTTTCCTGCCCTTGCCACTCCCTGCCCACTGACAGTCGATGTGGATTGAGAGAACCTCCTTCGTGACTGCGTACAAGCTGCCGGGGATCTTACGCTGGTTTGAGGTGGTGCACATGTCGCAGGTGAGTCGGGGGCATTCATGGCAGGGCCACCCCTCCTCTGATGGGCAGGGCACAGCCAGTCTCAGAAGGCCCCTTTTGACTTTAAAAAGGGAACATGTTTTTGTTTGAAGCTGCTGTGTGAGTCCCAGAATTCCCAGGTAGGCAGCATTCAGTATAGTGGCTTTCAGATTTTTTTTTTAAGCACCAGATAACATTTTTGTTCCCTGCAAATGAAACTTTCCAGAGCCTCCAGTAATAAAATGATGAATGGGAAGCTTCTGTTGGGCAGAAGCTTCTGTTGGGGTGTCGCAGAGGGCCTGGAACACAATCTACTCCATTACCCCCTCATACTTATCATGGTACCCCCTTGGGGGTACCTGTGCAGTATCCCAATATGAACCCATTTTATAGTTGGATAAACTGAGACTCAGAGGGGAGAAATCATTTGGCTAGAATCCAAATGTTTGAACTCCCTTGTGCAGATAGCACGTGTTATGCTTCTCAGCACAGCTTAGAGTCTCCACGTCCTCAGACAGCTAAAGATCTTGCAGTCCCCAAGATACAGAGGAAGGGTCAGTGTTGTTATGAGGAAACCTTATAAATGTGGATATATTAAGGATATCTTAATTATTCATTCGGAAAACACTTAATGTGTACCTAACATGTTAGGCACTGTTTTAAGACCTAGAGATTCTGCAATGTAGCTTCCATTCTAGTGGGAAAGACAGACTAAAAAGTCAAAGTAAATGTATAATATGACAGATAGAGATAACTGTGATGGAAAAAATTAAAGCAGAAAGGTGATGGATGAGGGATCACTGTTTTAAATAGGGCAATCAGAGAAAGCTTCCCTCTCTAATGGCTGTTGAGGAAAGGCCTGGAGGAAGTGAGGAAGGGGTCCATGCTGACATTGAAGAGAGAGACATTCCAGCAGAGGGGATAGCAAGTGCAAAGGCCCTGGGGCCAGAATATGCTTGTGTCCAGATCAGAACAAATGAGGCTGAGTAGCAGTCATCTGATACCAGATCACGAAGGACCTTGTAGACCACTGTAAAAACCTTGACTTTCCCACTAAGTAACACAGAGCCATGAGCAGAAGAAGGACTTGCATTTTCAAGCTACTGTGTCAGACGATAGGTAGCATTGAGACCTTTTCACTTCTGCCCTTAATGCCCCCCTCTTTTCAGGGAACCCAGCAGCTCAGCAGCCCTTCAGTATCCTTTTTATAGGCATGACCTAGACCTTGGAAAAGTATAACAATGATGGTGATAGCAAAAAATATTGCTTTGAGTGTGGGCTCAACTATTCATATGCATGATCTCATTTCAACCCCTCAACAACCCTGTGAGGTAGATACTATTATTCTTCCCATTTTATGGATGAGGGAACTGAGATGCAGAGTTGATTAGTACATTGTTCAAGGTTAGTAAAAGAGATAGGGTGTGACTTTAACCTCCCCTGTCAGGCACCTGGCTTGGACTCTTTATCTTTTTTTCCTTAAGAAAAATAAAAAGAAGCCCACCCGGCACACCCCAGCCAGTAGTACCCCAGAAAGGAAGTGTCTGTGCCCTTACTTCATGTCACATTAAGTTTTAACAAGTGCCACAGGTATTGTGTTAAAAGGTTTGTAGCAGTATCTCAATTAATTCTCATAGGTGCCTGTGAGGTACATATTGTTATTAGCCCTATTTAGGGGTTAAGGGATTAGAACCTTTCCATCAATCTGTAGCCTCTCTCCATTAGCCCTGACTGAGCCCTGTTACCTGGTGGTGCTCAGCAAGGCGCCTCTTCTGTAGCCATTCCTGCCAAACTGTAGCAAACTGAGAGAGCCCATCCCTTACTTCCCATTCCCTCTGCTACTGTGTGTCTTCTCAAAGCGCTTATCTTCTAATAGATTATGTAATTTTCCTGGTTATTTTTAGTGTTAAGAAAATATTAAATATAACATTAGACTACAAGCTCCACTAGAATATAAATTCTAAGAAGATAGGTATTTTGTCTATTTTATTTTCTGCTATACCTCCCAGTGCTAAGAATAGTCCCTGGCCCACAATTGATGCTAACTAAAAAATACTTACATAAATTAATCAATCAACCAATATACAGACACCCATAATGTTTAAACTGGTTACCTTATTTTATAAACTGAGCATTTTGAAGTTAGGAAAGAAACAGTCAAGATTTTTGACTTGTTTCTTTCATCCTGATGCCTTCTCATAGAAGACATTGGGGAAATCTTCCAAAAGTTGGCCTGAGTGAATTTATCTTTAATGGACTCTCTCAGATGAGTTACCAGGAATTTCAGGGTGTCTCAGATACAAAAGTCACTCTTCTAAGTGACTTCAATTCCAAAGATTATTTTTGTGTTATATGAATTTGTATCTTATTCTTGGTTATTTCTATTGTAAATTATCATAACTACAGTAATGTTTATATAGAGAGGTATTTTCTGATGGGCTTCAAATATAAGCTATGCTTATTGGGGTTTCATTTTTTTCTTGTTCTTGGCCCCGAGAAATATAGTCTTAATAAGGAGCCCTGATCTAGGGGTCAGGGATCCAAATTCAACTTGGTCACTAGTGAGCTATCTATGTTAGATTAGGAGGGTGTATCTCTGGGTCTTAGTTGGGCTGTGGCAAAGTGCCGTAGCAACAGCCCCTTCCTCCACTGCTGTTGAATTACATTTTTAAAAGTTAGAATCAATGTGCAAGCTAAATGACAGACCTCCACCAGCCTGGTTTGACTTGCAGTTCTCCAATTTTTGTCCTGATTCTTCCTGGTTCTTGTCCAGCTGTGCTATTCTGTACATGAGGAAACTGAGGCCCAGCGATGGGACTTGAACTGCCAAAGCAATTTATGGCAGAACTCAGAGGTAACAAAAGCACCTGTCCTGTGCATCTCATAGGATTCCTGGGTAGACTTAAGAAGGTGATATTGGTGAAATGGCTTTGAAAAATATGAAATGCCACCTAATTACCAGGGATTGAGATTAATTTCTCTTTCATCTTATGTTTCCCCACCCACCAATCCACACTTTTCTATTTTTTTCCAAAGCACCCTTGCCTAATAATTCATTTTCCTTTCACAGCAAGCCTGGCAAGGGTTGCTATATTGATAAAGAAACTGAGGCTCAGCTTAGGGAAGATACCAGAGGTTTGAGGGCTGGCCTTAGTCCCAATAGCCCATTGATGGCAAGTGTGGTGTCAAAGTTTCATTCACATGTAGTGGAGGAAGCCCGCCTTTGGAATCAGAAATACCTAAATTCTCTCTCCAGCTCTGCCCTGTGGCTCAGGGACAAATGGCTTAACCTATTGCTGCAGGAATGAAATGAGCAGAGGTATAATGTGGCCAGCATGGGCTGGCACGTAGGAGGCAACTGATAAGTGAAGTCATCTTCATTATCATGATCATCACTTTTGTTCCTATTATTAGCTTCTGACATCTAGGCCTCCCACTGACTCTAACCCCTGTAACTATGCTCTGAAAATTACATATTTGGTCTATGCCCGTAGGTGAGAAACCAAAGTTACTTTCATTCTCATTCTCTGTTTCTGATGGCTATAATGAGGATGAAGCTTTGGGAATCCAAAAATAGTTTCAAAGGCAAGGAGGAAAGCCAATCAATAGCTCTTTCCATTTTTAATGACTCACCTTAAAGCCTGAGTCTTTCAGATATAACAGGCTATTGTTCAAATGCAGATGTGGTGCTGGGCTCAATCCAGGCAGTGGTGATAGATTTTCCTTCCAATGCAGTCTAGACCTTGGTCCCTCAGAGCCCCCTCAGAGTTGATCTGTGTACCGGACAGATACTAGACTGTGGGTTTCACCTTGTAGGACTATGGCTGCAGCCAAGCTGGGCAGCGTTCCCCTTCAGTTAACATGTGTGTATGTGCGTGTACAGGTGTAGGGTGTGTGGGTGTGCCCAGTGTGTGCATGTGTGTATACCTGTGTATGTGTATCTATGTGAGTATGTATATGAATGACAGAGAAAGACAGAGACAGAGAGAGAGAGAGAATCAGTCTATTCCCAGGGCCTTCTCACTGCAAAGATCAATCATCTTCAGAAACGTCCAGATACAGGGTAAGGGAGTGAGGAGGCTGTAATTTCATAGAAATGGTTTAAAAAGATGACCAAGGAGACAATTAGCAATATGGCAGAATAGGAAGCTCCTGGCTCTCCCTTCACTTCCAAATGCACCAAATATCTACTCATGGATCAATTCCCTCTGCGAGAAACTCAGAGATGAGTTGAGGGACTTCTACTTATCAGGCACTGAGTAAACATCTACATTGATCTGATATGAAAAGCTGAGTCACACTCAGGCATGGATCCTGCTCTGACACTGTGCCATAACATCAAGAAAGAAATTTCCAGTACTCATCTTCTCCCTATGGAGAGGAGGGCTTGGACCTCACATATACTACCCTAATTCTAAGGTTCCCCAGGAGGGCTTGGACCTCACATACGCCATTCTAATTCTGAGGTTCTTCACGGGTTGGCTCGTAATTTATCGACTCTGAGACTACATAGAGTTAGAAACATGCAAGTCTCTTTAGACCACAGAAAAAATCAGTGGTTTTATATGGGTGCACATGAACTTTCAGGCATTTCATCCCAAGAGCAGTGTCGTAAATGGGCTTTAAAAACTGAAATCCTCTGCTCTCCTCAGAAGGCCTTTATGACACACTCTTCCAGTAGCTACTTGGCAGCCTGACTTCTACATAACTTTCACTGAGGAGCTAAGGGGCAAACAAATATTAACCCACTGGCAGCCTGAGAAGCAGGCTGTCACTTCTCAAACCTTGTCTCCTGGCTCACCCCAGCAATAACTACAGGTTTATTAATCCCTGCTGGGAGGAGTTTGTCCACACATCAAGTTTCCCAGCTTTTATAACTTCCACCCAAGGGCTGTATCCTCAACACCCTAGCTCTGGGAGCAGAGGGGACTGGCATATGCATGTCTCCAAAGACCACAGGAGAAAAAAAGTAGCAGTTTTGTACAGGCATGAAAGCACTTCCAGGGCTTCATTCCCTGAGAGTGGTGCAGAGAAAGGGCTTAAAAAATTGCAATCCTCTGTTTCTCCCGAGACAAGGTTTCTGCTGTGCATTGAGTGTCCCAACTTTTACAGCTATCTCTAAAAGGACTCCATCTAAACCTCTTAGCTCTGGGAACAGAAGGGAGTAGGCGTATGCAAGTCTCCTTAGATCACAGAACAAAGAGCTGATTTTAAATGGGTACACAAACACTTCCAGGGGTTACATCCCCTTGGAGTAGCATGAAAATAGGCAGAAATGTATAGCTCCCATTTTCTTTCTGGAAGGGGCACACACTTCCAGTGGCTACTTAATGACTTGGCATCTAACAAACTTGCATCAGGGAACTAATAGGGAAAACAAACAATAGCTTTCCAGCAGCCAGAGGTTGGCACTTCACAAGTCTTTCCTCTGTCTCAATCCAGTGATAAATCCAGGTCTATCCATTCTTCCTGCAAGGAATTTGGCCACATACCAAGTGCCACACTAGAGCTCCCACCCAAGGGACTGTCCTCTTAATGATGTAGCTCTGGGAGTCAATGGAGTTTTGCCTTCCTGAGTGGCCCTAGACCACAGCAAAAAGAGGTGGATATACAGTGGGTTCAATTTCAACAACTATATCACCAGAATCAGAGGGTGCAGCCTGAACCTGAGTGTAGGCACTTGCCACAGATTCTCTCCCAAGCTCAGGGCAGAGAGAGTGAGAGATAATCACCCATGCTTAGCTTCACTGTGAAGATGGAAGGAGCTGGAACACACATCTAACACCCTGGCCTTTCCAGCTACATCTAGAGAGTCTAGCCCCTACCTTATCTGTCTCAGGGCACTGACAGGAAGCGGCACATCCTAAACTCTAGGGAGCTACCAAAAACAGAGATAGCAGTCTGGACAAATAGAGAGATTTGAGAGGATCCCTAACATTTCACACTAGGTGGATTGGTCAGATCCTTCTTCTACACAAGGCCAGTCTGACAAGACTGGGAGATATAGCTGTCTTATCTAACACACAGAAACCAACACAGACACTGAAGGAAAATGAGGAAACAAGACAATCTATTCCAAGTAAAGGAACAAGATAAATCTCCAGAAACCGATATGTATGGAGTCAAGACATGTGATTTACTCAGGCGGAAATCTAAAATAATGCTCATAAAGATGCTCACCAAGGTCAGGAGAGCAATGCAAGAACAAACCGAGAATTCTAATAAAGAGAATGCATAACGTGTATCAAACAGAAACCACAGAGCTTAGGAATATTATAACTGAACTGAAAAATGCCATAGAAGGGTTCAATAGCACACTAGACCAAACAGAAGAAAGGATTAGTGAACTTGAAGACAAATCACTGAAAATCACATAACCTGAAGAGCAAAAACAATAAGAATGTGAAAGAACGAGGCTGGTATAAGAGACTTATGGGACACCATCAACATATGTGTAATATGTTGTAACAACATACACATTATTGGGGTACCAGAAGAAGAAGAAGAGAGAGAGAAAGGGACAGAAAACATATCCAAAGAAATGACAGAAAACTTCCCAAACTTAGGAAAGAAAATAGAAATCTAGATCCAGAAAGCCCAAAGGACAACAAATAAGATAAATCCAAAGAGACCCAAAAGACTTTCTCAGATAAAAGCTGAGTTTATCACCATGAGATTTGCCTTATAAGAAATGCTAAAGGTAGTTATTTAAGTTGAAGGAAGAGGATGCTAGTTAGTAATATGAAAACATATGAAAATATAAAACTTACTATTAAAAAATAAGTATATTGTCAAATCCAAAATATGCTAATACTTTAATCAGGATGAGCAAATTATCTCATATAAAGAATAAAAGGCAAAACAATTATTTAAAAAAAATAAAGCTCTAATAGTTTGTTAAAGATACAAATTATTTTCATGTAAATTATGACATCTGAAACATAAAACATGAGAGGAGAAGGAGTAAAAATGAAGTTTGTGTATGTGCTCAAAGCTAAGTTGTTATCAGCTTTAAATAGCCAGATACATGTAAAAGATGTTTTATGGAAGCCTCAGGGTTACCACAGAGCAAAAGCCTATAATAGATATACAAAGGATAAAAGAAAAGACCCAAAGCACATCACTACAGAAAGCCATCAACCATAAAGGAAGAAAGAAACAGAAAAAAAAAGAACAAAGGATCTATCAAACAACCAGAAAACAATGAAGAGAATGGCACTAGTAAGTCTTTACCTATCAGTAATGACTTTGAATGTAAATGGATTAAATTCAACAATCAAAAGGCATAGAGTGACTGAACCAAAAAAAAAAAAAAACCTAATGATATTGTATTAGTTCATTTTCACACTGCCAATAAAGACATACCTGAGACTGACTTACAGTTCCACATGGCTGGGGAGGCCTTACAATCATGGCGGAAGGCAAGGAGGAGCAAGTCACATCTTACATGGATGGCAGCAGGCAAATAACTTGTGCAGAGAAACTCCTTTTTTTAAAACCATCAGATCTCATGAGACCCATTCACTGTCACAAGAACAGCATGGGAAAGATCTGTCCCCATGATTCAATCATCTTCACCAGGTCCCTCCTATAATGTGTGGGAATTATGGGAGCTACAAGATGAGATTTGGGTGGGGATAGAGAGCCAAACTGTATCAAATATGTTGCCTACAAGAGACTGACTTCACCTAAAAGACACTCATAGACTGAAAGTGAAAGGATGGAAAAAGATATTCCATGTCCATGAAAACTTTTAAAAGGAGAGTAGGGGCATCTATATTTATTTCAGACAGAATAGACTTTAAATAAAAAAAACTGAAAAAAAAAAAAAAAAAAGACAAGATCATTTTATTGTGACAAAGAGGTCAGTTCATCCAGAGGATGTAACAATTGTAAACACATATACACTCAACATTGGAGCACCTAAATATATAAAGTAAACATTAGGAGATTTGAAGGGAGACATACAGTGCCACACAATGATAGCAGGGTATTCCAATACCCTTTTCAACTTTTCACATTGGACTGATTATTTAGCCAAAAAAACAATAAGAAAATATTGAATTTGAACTACAGTTTAGATCATAATGGACCTCACAGACATACACAGAACAATCCACCCCACAGCAACAGAATACACATTTTTCTGAAGTGCACATGGAACAACACTCTTCAGTATAGATCACGTGTTAGACCACAAAACATGTCTTAGCAAATTTAAGATTTTTATTTAGTTTGTTTCAGTTTAGTTCATGGGTCAGCAAACTATGGCCCATGGACCAAATTTCACGCACAACCTATTTTTGCAGTTTTATTGGAACAGCCATTCTCATTCATTTACATACTGCCTGTAGGTGCTTTTGCCCTACAATAACAGAGTTGAGTAGTTGCAGCAGACACCATCTGGCCTGCAAATCCTAAAATATTTACTATCTGGCCCTTTTACAGAAACTGTTTGCCGACCTCTACGTTAGGTTTCTACTCCAGATCTCATGTTCTTGCAAATTGTACTCTTTGCTGGCTGGCACTCTCTTTATATTGCCTTCTAAGAGGTGTTGGAGAGGTGTTCAGTTTAACTTTCCCAACTAAACTCAGTTTACTGTGGAACACTGACCCCCTAACAACCAGTCTTAGGACCTACTATGTGCCAGGCTGGGTGCCTACGTCGCAAATGGCTCTAATCCCTCTGGCCAAACACATAGTTTCTGCTCAACCAATACTGAAAGGGTTACATTGTCATGTTTTGCACCCAGATAATAAGAAGAGGAAACCTTCTCTGGGGTACACTCAGCATCTGAAACCTCAGCAAGTACCCGACATTTCCTGCTTCTGCCTCCCCAAAGAAATTCCTTTCTCACTAAGCAGAAGACAGTCTGTCTCTCCCCAGAGAGCAGACAGCCACCAGAGCTCAGTAATTACAAGATCCTGCTACAGCCCCTCAGGGAGCATCGCCTCATTTGAATTCCCACCCCAAGGGAAATCAATACCAATAATATTTGTTTTTAAAGTGACTTAACTAAGGCCTTTTCTTCTTGGTGATGTCATTTTCCACAGACCACAATTAGTCCTCTGGAGAATGCCATAGAAACCATGTCCACGGCCAATGAGAAGATCCTGATGATGATAAACCAGTACCAGAGTGACGAGACCCTCCCCATCAACCCGCTCTCCATGCTCCTGAATGGGATTGTGGACCCTGCTGTCATGGGAGGCTTTGCCAAGTACGAGAAGGTGAGGATTTCTGTGCTCAGGGGAGCTTGTGGGGCAGAGCAGTGGAGGGAGGACCCAGGGGACAGATGCAGCTACATGTCACTTATCCTACTCTGGCTGTCCTTGTCCACAAAGGGACCCTCAGCTTGGTTGGCCCTCATGTTTCTACAGCCTCATGACTTAGCGGACCTCCCGTCTCCCTCCCACCCTCCTGTCCAAACCCTGTGCTGGGGCAGGAAGGGGCAGGGGTCACAAGGGCCGCTTTTCTCACTGGGCAGATTCGGGTGGCTCTATTAAGGAAAGGCTCTGGGGTGACTGTGAGCCAGACCATAAAAGCACGTGCCAGTTGTATAAACCCATCTCTTCCACAGAAAATTTGAAATGATCTGTACAAATGGAAAGAAATGAAACTCAGAATCTGTGAAAAGACATGAAAACTAAGAGATCATCTCCAAGAGGGGAGCTATAATCTAGTTATCAAGGTCATAAAGTCCCTCCAGAAAGCCCCACACATTTGAGCCACAGATTTTATTTTTGAACTTCCTGGTGTTCATGGCAGAAAGGGAAATAGGATCACTTACATGAGATACATTATCCACTGGAAGGAAAAACACCCATTTCTCAGTAAGGAGACATAGCTTTTCTTGGCATTAAAATAGAATAGAAAGTTCTTACTTGGTTTTCACCTAGCGGGTGCTGAAGGAAAAATGAACTCCTCATTCTAATAAATCTCTTGATGAATTCCCTATTATTTTTCCTATGTTATCCATTGATATAAGTAGAAACAATAACTCCAGTCACCTGATCAGTTCTTCCACCTACCCTCAGATACCGCGGCAGTCATCATTCGGAACCCTTTGCTCAGCCTTGAGCAGTGATAGGATATGTCTGTTTACACATGCGCACACACTAAGGACATGAGCCCAGGAAGTGGCTAGGGGCTGCCAGGGTCCCTTGCAATGACGGAGGCCATGAGATGAGCTGGAACACCTGCCCAGTGAGAATCCTTACTGAGTTCTTTTCTGCAGAGCAATTTCTCAAACTTGAAGGAGCATCAGAATCCCCTCCAGTGCTTCCCGACACACAGGTCCTCATCCCACCCCCAGAGTTTCTGATTCAGGCTGTCTGGGCTGGAGCCAGAGAATTTGCATCTCTAACAAGTTCCAAAGTGCTGCTGCTGCTACTGGCTCAGGGACCTGACTTTGAGAACCGCTTTTTCAGAGTTTGTAGCCCATTCCCACTAGGTGCTGATCTGAGCCTCCAAGCAGAGAAAACAATGTCAGTCTCTCCGGACCTCTCACTCTTGTTCCATTCAAATGCCTATGACCTCATCCTTGCCCCTCTCAAATTGAATCTTCTCCCAGTGCCAAAGAGATTGGCTGTGAAATGCCAAATGAACAGGCAACGCTGAACTCCTGTCTGTCCTCCCCAGGCCTTCTTCACTGAAGAGTACATCAGGGACCACCCTGAGGACCAGGACAAGCTGACCCACCTCAAGGACCTGATTGCATGGCAGGTAAAGCAGAGCTGGCTGGGGGAGCATCCTGTCCTCCTTCCTCTCCCCCGACTAGGGTTCACTTGCCCTAAGCTAGGCTCTGGCTGAGGCAGCCTAGATTTGCATGACCTCCTGTCCCTTGCTTTTCAGCCCCTCTTCCAAGTCTGCATCACACCTGGGCAGGTACATCCAGGAGCAGAGATTTGGGGCACTGCACTCTCGGGTGTTGCATGGTGCCAGGCAGCAATGCTATGCTGGATGATGCTAAGATTACCTTATTTGATGTTGAATTCAGGGGATGGCTTTTCACAGTGGGATGAAAATGAACACCAGGCCCCCACACTCCAAACCAGCACCTTCCCTCGACACCCAGCACAGGCCAATCTGATAATAGAAGACTTGAGCCCCTACTCCCACCTCTCCTCCTTTTAGAGCTGACCCAGTTTGTTGCAGATAATGCTCAGATGGATGTCAGGTTTTGAAAATAATCAAGGCCTTTGTGTGGTTGGTTGTGAGACAAAGGGTCTACATCCCACACAAGCTGCTGCTCAGCCCACGGGCTTGGAAGGCACCACCCTGCGGTCTCAGGCTGGCCACTTACCTTCCTCTCCTTCCATTCTCTCCTTGCAGCCCTCTTCCTCCTGTGGGCTCTTTCTTTCCTCCTTTCTCTCTCTCGGTGCATTTGCCTCTGTCTTTCCCTCTCTCTCTTAGAAGCCTGCACTTCTATTCCTTGCCTCTCTGTCTTTTGCCCTCCACCCCCACACATCTTACTCCTCTCTTGGCTTCTCTTCCTCTTCTCTCTCATTCTCCCTCTCCCTGCCGAAGAAACAGTCTGCTAGATCCCTCCCATAGAGGCTTACACAGGGCGAGGCTTCCCCTCCAGGCTTGGAGCAGCCCCCTCCTCAGACAGTCGCCCACTCTGGGCTCTCAGCAAACCACTCGGCAGAACACAGGGGTGGGCTCGGAGGGCAGGAGCTGGCGGGAGGCAAGCAGTGGGTGCAGGGGCCGGTGGTGGCAGCTTGCAGCTGCCTGCCCTCCCTCGCTCCCTTCTTGCCAGCCACTGTGCAAAGAAAAGCAAGCTTTTGTGGTTGGGAGTTTTTGTTACTCTAGGGAAATCAGGGAATGAGAAGCATTGGGTGCAGCCTCTTTTCTTAAAATAAGGATTCCTAATTCAGGTCCTTCTCTGCCTCTGCCAAATTATGCAAAGTGGGGCTTTAAAAATGAAACACCAAGCACTGCACAGACGCGCTTTTCCCAAATGCATGTTGTGTGTCTGTCTGGAATTTTCTCCTTCTTTTTACCTTGTGCCACCTGTGATGTCCAAGTATTTCCGAGGTCCCCAGCCTTCTCGAGTCATCATGTTCTTTATTCAAATAATGATATTTGTTCTGTCAGCACCCCAGACTTGGGAAGCAGGAAGGCCAGGCTTTGATTGGTTCCCATCCTCAGATAGTACTGGGAAGCCTCAGGGAAGGCTAACGTGTCACACAGATTTGCTTAGTGTTGGATGTCACTCTGAATTCATACCACTGCCCTGGTCCTCTCCAGTGGGGACCTCTGCTCATCTGGAAACAGCTTCTCCATGCTGTGTCTGCTGTACCCTAAGAATGAACTTCAGCTTCACAGCACAGCATATATCAAGCTGTACCTTCTAAGAAAATCCTACTACTGTCTTGAGCTTATTAGAGGGACACTACTAACAAAGCAGGAAGACTTTGAAAGCATGTGCTCTGTTAGATGTGACTGCTTCTGAAAATCACTAGCAAGGGGCCTTCAGACACCGCCCCCTAGTGGCCACCTTCTCTTTAGTCCCGCCGGCTGCACCTGAGACCACCTTTACAGAAGCCGACCTAGCCCCCAAAGGAGGTTGACCAGAGCCATATTCCTCCCACCCAGAGCCCAGGCACCCTAACTGTGGGCACCTGCATGCAAAAGATGCAGCCCTGCTCATAATGAAGGCAGCCTTTTAACATGATTACATGCAGCAAATTAGCTCTTCCCTACCTGTTTCATTCCATTTGTTCTTGCGACTTGTATTTACTGAGACTCTTTTGTGGCCTAGGCATAGTCTTAGGCAACAGAGACAGTGATGAACAAAATTGGGCCTGTTCCCTGCCCACTTGGAGCTTAACTCTGGATTGGATCTTGGTTTTGCAAAGCCAAATACACTTTGAATTTACTCAAAACGTGAGAAGGTTAGATTTCAAGGGGAGTGAATATATTTGAACCTCTGGCAACTAACGAATGCTGAGGCCTTCAAAGTACATTTGGTGTTCAACCTTTTCAGATTTCAAGATCAACGGCTTGTTAATTTCTTTTCTTTGTGAAGATTCTCTATATATTTTTGGCATAAAAAGATGTCTGCAGTATGCTCTTCTTTTAAAGCTTTTGTTATGAAATATTGTGTGTAGAAAAGTACACATGAAAATATATAACCCACTGATTTATCAAAAAACATACACGCATATGACCATCATCCAGATGAAATAGAATTCTGCTAACTCCCCTTAGCCTATTCTATGACTCCTTCCCTAAGAGTCAGCACTATTCTGCTTTTACAGTAATCATTTCCCTGCCTTAACCCAAACACTCATTCTTTTTTTTTTGAGACGGAGTTTCGCTCTTGTTACCCAGGCTGGAGTGCAATGGTGCGATCTCGGCTCACTGCAACCTCCGCCTCCCGGGTTCAGGCAATTCTCCTGCCCCAGCCTCCTGAGTCGCTGCAAACACTCATTCTTAAACACTATAGTTTAGATTTGCTTAATTTTGACCTACGCATTAAATGAATCACGCAATGTGCATTCTTTTGAATCTAACTTATTCTGCCCAATGTTATGTTTGTGGAAGACATTCATTTGTTGTAAGTAGTTATGTATCATTCATTCATTTTCATTGCTATGTGGTAGGCCATACAGCTGACTTACGGAACTATACCAAAATGTATTTATTTGTTTTTCTACTAATAGACAATAGGGTTTATTTCGGTTTAGGGCTATTACAAGTAATGCGATGCTGAACATCCTTGTGTGTGTCTTTTTGGCACACATGTGCAAAATTTTTGTTGAGTATATACCTATGCATAACTTGCTTGGTCGCAGCATGTAAGGATATTCAGCTTTAGTGGATACTGCAGTCTTCTATCACCAAAGGTTAGGTTGTTCTGCCTGTTCTGGAAGCCCTTATAAATTGTGTTATACAGTACAGTATGTACTATTGAATCTGTAGCTTCTTTTGCTCAGCATAATGCCTTTGAGATTCTTCTAGGTTGTTGCTTATACTAGAGGTTTGATTTTTGTTTCTAAGTGTTATCTATTGTATGTGTATCTAAATTACCAATAACATGTCAATTTATTTATCTACTGTCCTGTTGCTGGACATTTGGGTTGTTTCCAGGTGTTGTGTATTATGAGTAAAGTTGCTATGAACATTCATGTTTATGCCTTTTGGTGGACATAAGCACTCAGTTCCCTCAGTATATATCTAGTAGTGGAATTCCTGAGCCATGCACATTTAACCTTACTGGACACAAGAAGCAGTTTTTCAAAGTGGCTAAATCAATTTTCACTCCCACACAACTTCTAAGTCAGTTGATCCACATTCTCACTGACACTTGATACTGGGAGTCTTTTTTAATTCTAGTCCTTCTGGTGGATGTGTAATGATATCTCAGTTTAGTTTTAATTTGCATTTCCTTCATGGGCGATGGTGTACAGCACCTTTTCATATGCATACTGCTAATTAGATTACCCTTTTGTGAAATACTTTTTCAAATCTTTTACTTATATTGTTAATTGAGTTGTCTTTATTATCGATTTGTTAGAGTTTATTTATATGCTAGATATGCGTCTTCTGTCAAATATGTGTATTACAAATATTTTCTGTTAGTTTCGCTTATCTGTTTGCTTTCTTGATGATGTATTTTGATGAACAGCAGTTGTAATTTTGGTCAGGTTTAATTTATCATTTTTTTAAATGATTAGTGCTTTTGTGTCCACTTTAAGAAACCTCTAGCAACCCCAAGATGGTGAAGATATTGTCCTATGTTTTAGTCCGAGTTTTTATTGTTTTATCTTATACAGTTAGGTGTATGATCCATTTTGACAGATGTAAAGTAAGAGGCAGATTATTTTCCCACACAGATTTCCAGTTTCTTCAGCACCGTGTGTTGAAAAGACTATTTTTCCCCACTTTGACCCCCCAAAATGACCATATATGTGTTTGTCTGTTTCTGGATTTTCTATTCTGATCCACTGTCTATGTCTGTGCTTATAGACACAATAATACCACACTGCCTTAAGTCTTGAAACCTAATAGTCAGTGTACCCCAATTGTTGCTTTTCGTCAAGTGTGTCTTGCCTCTTCTAAGTCCTTTGTATTTCTCTATAAATTTAAAAATAACTCTGTCAATGTTTACACACTTCTCCAAAATACATTGAGATTTGGATTAATTGTACATTAAATATTAAATTAAATTGGAGAGAATGTCTGTCTTCTCATCCGTAAACATAGAGTATCTCACCATTTATATAGTTCTTTAATTTCAGCAAAATTTTGTGGTTTTCACATATTTTATTTTATATATCTTACTAGATCTGCTCTTAGGTATTTGATATTTTCAATTCTATTGTAAATGGTATTGTTTTTAAATTTTATTTTCTGTTTGTCAACTTTTCATAATATACTCTTCTTACGGTATTTTATGACGTTTTTCCTTCTTGTAGTTCTGTTTTTTTTCAATCCTAATATTGGTTATTAGTACTTTATATTTTCTTGATTAGTCATTTTGGGAGTTTATTAGTTTTGTATCATTTCAAAGAAACAAGTTTGGCTCTGTTGATACTCTCCTTTATAAATGTGTTTTCTGTTTGCATTCATGTCTACGCTTACCTTTATTATTTTCATTCCTTTTCTCCCTTTGAATTCGCTGTTCCTTTACGAATATCTTGAGATGGATACTTAGCTACTTGATTTTCTGTCTTTTCTAATATGTAAAACTAAAGCCATAAACTTATCTCCATTTACAACTTTATCTCACTACTTTTATATGTAGCTTTTCCATTAGCATGCATTATTTTATATAAAATCCTTGTCTTTTTCATGGATGGGGAATCTTTTCCATTCCTATATATTCATTAAAACCTGTAGAAGAGCATGTTCTTCTAGGCCCTCTTTATTCTGTTTCTTCCAAATTCATTCTGTTTTTTTCTTCCTTTATTCTTTACTTCTTTTCTTCCTTCTTTGCTCTCTTCCCTATCTGTTGGTCTGGTCTCTGTCTTTGATACTGGGGAGTCTCCTCCAATGTCTGGTGATGGTTGGCCTTCTCTTCATAGTTAAGAGCGAGGCTAATCGAAAATCTGTGTACATGAGANGGCCTTGGCAATTGGGTAGCATTGCTGTTTGGTAACAGAATGACCCACAGCTGTCTCTCTCTACATGGGACCGTTCACGTTCTCCAGAGTCAGACCCTTCCAGCTGTTATATAGAAAGATAATCGCAGCTGCTACACTGCTGGCCATTTGAGAACTGGGAAGTGGAGGTCTCATGATCCAAATGCAGACTTTCTCTTCAGCTCCTTATTTACACTCTGGCTCCTGATTCTGCTTTCTGTTGTGCCTGATGCCCCTAAGCCCAAAGTTCCTTGTTCTAATTGTTCTAGAGGATTAGCTCCTGCTTCTTAATGGGAAAATAGAACATTTGGCTGCAGAGTGAGGCAGTCAGGCAATCTAACTGCTGCTGATACAGAACTTCAGCCAATTCCCTGAAGGGAATTTGGCCCCTCTCAGCTCACCCGGCTTCTATGTAGTGCCTGGAGCCTCCAATCTCTGAGGCCCTCCTGGCTTCATGGAGGTAGGCTGGCTACTTCTTATCGGCACCTCCCTCCTCTGCTCTGGAAGGTCAATTATGTCCTCCTGCCTCCTTGCACCTGCACGCATTGTGGGGCAGGTTCATGAATGTCTCCAAGTTTCACTGAAGATTTCAGTTTTCCCTTCACCTTGTCGTTTCTGGGAGACCTCCAAGAGAAGTAGGCAGAAATGTCTTTATGCCACCATCATGAAAGCAACTTTTCCCCAGATAATTCATAGCCCACCCTTTGCTCCCCTGGTTACATTTCCCTGAGACCACACAACTAAAGTCTTAGCTTCTCTTTCTAACAGTACCCACCCTGGCTCTGCTACTCCCTCTCAATGTAGCTGCCACGTAGACATTATCCACTGGCTTCCCATGAGGACAAATAAAACTTCAGCCCCCTCAATCAATGCTCCCCTCTTCCCTCATCTTCCTGAGGCTTTTACATCACTTTTCAAAGCTCCCTATTGGTGGGTTAACTTTATGATATTGGCACATTCATACCCTTCTTCAGCAGTTGTATAAAGTGTAATCGCTCCATGAGGTAAGACGAGGCTATGCCTACTCCTCTGTTTTCTCTCCGCTCTTGCCTTCCTCTATCTCCCAGCTTCTGAATTCATCCTTTCACTTCAGTATTGCCAAGAACATCTTAGGCAAGTTTTCAAATCAATGGAAGATTGATCAGAGATTCCCGCCCTCTGATCCCCACACTCTGCCCCCAAGTAGATTCTTTAAGAGGTCAATTTTCCCAAGACTGTGGCTTTTCTTGGGGAATGGGAGAGTCCAGCCCTCCTATGAGGCAGGGAAAGCTGGGGGCCTTTCTCCCCTTTCCAGGGCAAACCCGATGTTCACAACTTTCCCTGTTTCCCATGGCTGGGGACCCTGTTTGCAGGTCTCTGAGGACCCTGAGGCCCTTGACAAATTCTTAACAGGCAGACTTGACTGCAGCTGCCTTGATGGACTGGGTCCCAGGCTGAGGCCCACTGGCCAGCCTCTGGCTCATTCTTTACCACTTTCTCTCCAGATCCCCTTCCTGGGAGCTGGGATTAAGATCCACGAGAAAAGGGTGTCAGATAACCTGAGACCCTTCCATGACCGGATGGAGGAATGTTTCAAGAACCTGAAAATGAAGGTGGAGAAGGAATATGGTGTCCGAGAGATGGTATAAGTGGTTCCTATGGCCTGGAGGGGTGGGATTGGGCAGGGTAGGGCAGGGAAGGATGATGAAGGCTGAAGTTGGAAGGAACCCAGCAAAGGGAGCTGCTTCTAAAGAAAAGATACTGATGGCCAGCATTGCTGAATCCCATCCAGGGGAACCCTCCTGGACACTTGGTCCAGCAAAAGTAACCCCGAGGCAAACTCTAGTTACAATGGGATTGTGCAAATACCAACTACTCAAGGGACTGTGTAATAATAATGAAAGCTACAATGATGCAGCATCTACTGTGTGCCAGGCCTGATCCACGCACTTGACAACTACTAGGTCACTTAATCCTCACCACAAGCCTGAGAGGCAGGAATGATTTTTAAACCCCTGTATTTCTTCTGAGGTTCAGAGGGTCCAGAGGCTATGTAGCAAATGAGTGTGGGGCAGAATTTGCCTCTAGCTCTGTTAGTTCAAAGCCAGTGGTTTTGGCAACTGAACTCCTTGGACTAAAGAGGCCACGAACCTGATGCTTACAGGGTGCTTCATCCTCTTACTTAATATGTGGTATTGTAAAATGTCAAGGCTATGCAATTCCTTTAAAACCATCTAGTCCAGCCTTCCCATTTTACAGATGGGAAAGCTGAGACCCAGAGAAGAAAAGTGAATTACTGGAAGAGCTTAGAGGTGAACTCAGGTCTCCTTTGATTCAAAGATTTTTTTCCATGAGACAGGTTGTCACTTTCAATACTCCCTACATAAAGTCACTGCAATGCAATTCTGATACTAACTCTGTGGAGTTAGGTCACATTTCACAGGTTAAAAGCATGGTCTTAGCTGCTTCCCACTTCAAATACCAAGCAGAAGCTTCAGGGACCCATGCCACCCATACTTCTGCCTAACTGGTTACAAATTGGAGGATTCCCACTACCCCATCAGGTTTCATAATTCACTAGAACAATTCACAGCACTCAGGAAAGCATGACTTTACTTATGACTTCAGTTTATGACGCAAATCAAGACCAGCCAGATAAAGAGACACAGAGTGAGATCTAGGAGGGCCCCAAACATGAAGTTTCCATGTCCTCCCGATGCATCCCCCTTCTGGCATATCGATGTATAATTACCAGCCAGAGAAGTTCACTGGAGCCTTATATCCAGAGTTTTTATTAGAGTTTCATTATGTAGTCATGACAGATGGACCCATTGGCCAATGATGGAAATCAGTCTCCAGGCCTGTCCACTCCCTGGGGGTTGAGCTGATATGACATGGCTCAAAGCCCCAGCCCTATAATCATAGAGCTGGTCTTTCTGGCCATCTGGAGCCATCTTACTAGCATAAAATCAAGTATGGTCAAGGGGGTCACCATGAATAATAACAAGGATACTCCTATCACGTAGGAAATTCCAAAGATTTGGATATTACCTTCCAGGAACCAGGAATAAACTTTGGCCACATTCTTTATTCTACAAGAACCCCCTGGCCTCAGCCAGCCAGGAAGCTTTTGTGCTGATGCTCCACACAGCCACACAGCTCTGCCCTGCGCAGGTGGAGGAAGAAGGTGACAGGAAGGCTGGGGCCACCTTGCCCAAGCTGCAGCTGCTGACCACCCTGTTCTCCCACCACAGCCTGACTTTGATGACAGGAGAGTGGGCCGCCCCAGGTCCATGCTGCGCTCATACAGACAGATGTCCATCATCTCTCTGGCTTCCATGAATTCTGACTGCAGCACCCCCAGCAAAACCACCTCCGAGAGGTCAGTCCCTGCACCCTAGGGAGCCCCCTGCACCCCTGCCTCCCTGGCCCTATGCCCCCTCCTTCTCTCTTCCCTGGCAACATCCCTTCTCCCTCCCACTTCCCCCTTTCAGTCTAAAAGCCTTTTCCCATCTGGAACCTCACAAGTACCCTAGGAGGCTCATGGTTAGTACCATTTTTAGGTTCAGAGAGGCAAGGCGGCTTTCCTGAGGACCCAGCAGGACTCACCTGCAGCCCCCAGACTTCTAGTCCAGTAATCTCTGTCAGCCAGCCTGAGCACCTCACCAAGCCTGCATCCTTCTGGAATATTGTCACCTCTCACAGGGATCAGTTCCCTTTCAAGGAAGCTCCTCCCAACCGCCATGGTTGTCCTCATTGCAGAGCTCCTCCTCCTGTACCACCCACCCACCCCTCTGTCGGGGTCCTCCTTCCCTTGCCCCCTTCCAGCTTTCTGGGGCCCTCTGGCCATCATTCCTTGACCCTCCAGAAACTTCCCAGCCTCAGAGGTTACTCTTGCCCAGAGAGAAAAGGATGGAAACGTCTTCTGTGTTTCACAATTCCAACAATTCCAAGGGATATCATTCACAATTCTAGGGGGCACCATTCACCCTGCCCAGCTCATCTGTTGTGATCACAGACACCATGAGTGACCCAGCACTCATCATATACCAAGAATGTGCCAAGGGCTCCTCAGACATCATCTCGTGGCCACTCTGCAGGGTCTCTGCAAGGACCCACTTTTACTGAAAAGGAAGTGATAGCCTGAAGAGGTTGAGCGATTTATCCAAAGTTATTCATTCAGCTAAGAACTGGCAGTTTGAATCCACATTCATACTTTCGACCAGTCTTCTCTCCTTCTCACGAGTTTCTTTCCTATGGCTCGCTTCTTTCAATTTCATTTTACCATTAATAAAATAAAATGAACTTTAGTCATTACATTCAAGTGTTTGTGGATTGAGCAAGTTTCTCCCCAAATCCTCTGCCAGATTTGCCGATCTACCCCTGACCCTGTAGTGACAGCTCAGGCAGCCTGAAGGTCCCCTTCAGCTTCCTGGGCCCTTGCAAGGCAGTTCTGCTGAAGCTCTAACTGCAGTTTCTATGGCTGCCCCTCTGGCCTTTCAGCTTTGACCTGGAATTAGCACCACCTAAGACTCCAAGAGTGGAGCAGGAGGAGCCGATCTCCCCAGGGAGCACCCTGCCTGAGGTCAAGCTGCGGAGGTCCAAGAAGAGGACGAAGAGAAGCAGTGTAGTGTTTGCGGACGAGAAAGCAGCCGCCGAGTCGGACCTGAAGCGGGTGAGCGGCCGAGGCAGGTTGCCTCTCCGGCACTGTTAGCAAATCTTCCCTACGTGCTGGGCACAAAACCCAGGGCTTCCAGACATGGTCTCCCTGAAGCCCGCTTCCGCGGTGCTGTGGGTACCGCAGAGGTGGCAGCTGAGGAGCTGAGAGGTGAAATGGTTGCTTTCAGGGTCCATCCAGCTGGAGGGCTGGAACATGACAGAGCTGGTAGTTGAACTCTGCACTTCAGAGCCTGTGTGTATCCTTCCCACCACCACACAGGGCTTTTCCAGGCTGGAGAGAAACCACCTGTTCTTCCACCAAAGGGGAGGGCAGCCCGCTTGCTTCCAAGCTAGGTGCTTCTGTAGCCCCCTGCCCCAGGGCTGTTCTAACCACTGATGTCTCAAGCCCCTCCTGCGTGCCAGGAGTCCAGGTGGGGATGCAGAGATGAAATCTCACTCTCCTGGCTTTGAGAGTTTGGTCCTGTAAACTAATCACTATTTAAAATGAGACTTGGTGTCAGACAGCCCTGAATTCAATCTTAGTTTCCCCCTGTAGAAGAGGTTTGTTGAAAGTGTTCTGGGATCCTGGGAGGGGGAGATGGATTAACTGCCGTGGCAACGGAGGGGTGCCAGATGAAAGTGCAAGGGGCCAACCAAGATGGCTTGCTGAAGAAAGGGCCCTCCAGAAACTTACCAGTAGCCTCACAGGCTACTTATGCCTGGATGGGTAAGAATGGAAGTGTCTTCCATGTTTCTCCATTCTAGGGGACACCACTCACAAAATAGTCTAAGTGAATGTCCCCCTTCCCCCCTCCCATAGTTGTGTAGTGTGCAGCCTGTGCAACCATACATGGCAGGCTGGAATGGAATGGTATAAAACAGAATAAATGAACTTGGAGCCGGCTTCATAGAAACCATGCCACACCCTCCCCCTGATCTTTCAGGGCCCAGATCTGTCTCATGCTAAGCCTCTCTTTTTTTTTTTTTTTTTTTTTGTGTGTGTGTGTGTGTGTGTGTGTATGTGTGTGTGGTGTATTCCTCCAGCTTTCCAGGAAACATGAGTTCATGAGTGACACCAACCTCTCGGAGCACACGGCCATCCCCCTCAGGGCGTCCGTCCTCTCTCAAATGAGTTTTGCCAGCCAGTCCATGCCTACCATCCCAGGTATGCCCCCTGCTGCCGCCAGCATGAGGGAATAGAGATAGCACAGGCCACCAGCCTGGTGGGTGGAAGATGGGTGGGAACTGTGTCTATACAACAAAGTGGGCCAGGCATCCTGGGGGTGAGAGGCTCTGCTCATAGTGGCCTGCCCTCTCACCTCTCCCCATAACCACCACTTCCTGGGGTTGATACCATCCCAGCAACCTCCAGCGGGGACAGGAGAGAGACCTGCTGTCCCTTGGGCCCTCAGCAGGATTCACTGGGCATCCATTTGTGCCACTAGGTGGCCCCTTGTTCTCAGCCAGGCCTCTTGGGGCCAGAGTTTGCCCTTAGTATATCCTTAAGATCTGTGGCTTCTTTGTAGACCTGGAAGACAGTTTCTGGCTTTACAAAAATGGCCACCACATCTTATAGCTGCAGAGTGTTGGGTGCATAGATGCTACCTATCTGCCACCCCCGTCACTCACTCACTGTCCAGTGAGGAGGTTAGAGCACAGCCAACAGTCCTAACTCACAGAAGGGGACCTGAGGCCTTAACAGGGGACATGGCATGCCTGGGAGCACTCCATCTGTCAGGCAGAAGGCCTTGGCATCTGCTGCTATGTGCCCAGCTCTGTGTGCTAAGGGCCAGGGCAGAAGGGAGCAAGACAGGGCCAGTGCTGCCCTGTGGAACCCGGCAGGCCAATCATGGTGAAGACGCTTGCTGCTTCCTGAATGTTGAGGGTGCCAGGCCCTGTGCCAACTCCTACTCCTTCATTATTGCATTTACATCACTGCACATACCCAGGAAGTACTTCATGCCATCCGCCCCATTGTATGGATGAGGAAACTGAGGCACTGAGAACGTCAGTCTCTTGCCTATCACCAGCCAGTAAATGGCAGAGGCTGTTAAGACCCAGGCCCTCTGCCCTGGAAGCAGGCGCCTACCCATTGCCCTGACAGCCCACCCAGGATAGCCTAAACACAGCTGCAACATTTGAGGAAGCCCAAGCCATTTCACTGGTATCCTCTCAGCGGGTCTCACAACACCCTGGAGGTCTGGGCTCTTTCTCCCATTTGACGAATGTGGAAACCAACAGTCAGAGAGTAACTAATTTTTCATGGCTCTGTGACTCCAAGCTGGGGCTGTAAACACTAGGCCATCTGGCCCCTCCACCAGGTGACATGTGAGTCTGAGAATCTCTTCCCACTGTCTTCTGCAGTGGAGAGAATAATCCAGGGTGTTGGTATTGGGAGCTGAAGGAAGAGTAAGCTCACACTCTCCCCTCCCTGGGGGCAGAAGGCTCTGTGTTTCCTGGGGATGTCAGGGCTTTGGGGCAAGGTTTTGACCAGGAACCAGGAGGCTGGACCCCTGTCTGTAGGGTGGGCAAGCTTCACTGAAAGAGGACAGCTTCACCACTCCCTGGCATGGCAGGAGATAGGCATCCCACCTCCTGCTTGGCGTAGACAATGTGTGAACCCTGGATGCTGGCTCTGTCCCCCAGCCCTCCTCCTGCCTACCTCCCCCAAGGCACCGCCTCTCCTCCACCCACCCCCTCACATCCCAGCTCTGCTCTCCTTCCAGCCCTGACGCTCTCCTTGGCAGGCATGCCTGGGGTGGACGAGGCCAACATATCCCCCCGCCTCAGCCAGACCTTCCTCCATCTCTCAGACAGTGACAAGAAGACACTCAAACGGAAGAAAGTCAATCAGTTCTTCAAGACAATGGTGAGGACACTGAGAGTGGAAGGAAGGGGAGATGTTGGGAGGAGAAAGGGAAGAGAGCGATACAGAGAGAAGAAAATGGGGGGTTGCTTGTAGATGTGTGTGCATTTGTGGTCATTCCTAGGGAGGCATGGTCAGGAGGCCCTGAGTTCTGGGACACTGTGCAGCAATGCCCACAGGGCAGCTCTCCTCTGGGGCCCCAGGTGGCTTCTCTGACCAGGATTGACCCAGCTAGGGGTGTGCAGGGCCCCGGGACCTCAGAAGCAGTAGGTGGCCTGCCCTTGCCTAAATTGCCCCAGCCCTTTTCTATTCAGTCTATATCACAAAATCCTACAAATTGAACATTAGTTTCCAAGCACTGATTCTGTTGTTACTTGTTGATCTTTGCTCAAGAGCAAGAAGGGACCATAACTTATCTCATCCTCAAGGTAATATGAAATCAGGACTGTGCTATTATAAACATCACAAGTTTACTGTGAGTACACGATGAGTCAGACACTGTGCTAAGCACTTTTCAAGCATGATGCCATTTGAGCTCCCACTCTCAGGATTTTATAAGGGAGACTGACAGGGTTTGGTAAGTGATGTCCCCAAGTCTACATGGCCATGAGCCTGGGCTCACTCAACTGCCTACCACTGCCTTTCTGGCCAAAGCAATAGCAGGTCACATTCACTGGGCTTTGGGGCCCTTGTGATCAGGAAGGGGAAGCTCCATTTTGGTGCTTAATCTGATAATCCCATCTTGGTTTTGTGCTTGTTTATTCTCTTCTCCCAAAAGCTGGCCAGCAAATCAGCTGAAGAAGGCAAACAGATCCCAGACTCGCTGTCCACGGACCTGTGAGCTGCTGCTGACTAGGGCTGCATGGGAGAGCCAGGGAGGGGAGTTTCCGGAAAAAGAGAACCATGGGTGCAACATCAAAGCCTCAGAGAGTTGGAGACTGTCCCCATCAGTTGTTCTCACTTAGAGGAGACACAGGGGCCAATCAGGTCCCAGAGCTTGAGTGTAACAAGCCCAACATCCCCTGGGGCAGTGATGGTGGTGAATGAAGAAGCCTCAACATAGATTCTTGAATGCAAGGAACTGGCAAGAATGCCTTCTCCCAGTGTGCTCTCCCCAACATCCTAGCCACAGCTTTCGTAGCCCAGTTTCTTAGGTGTAAGAAACTTTCATTTACTGAGTCCCAGACCTTAACAGAAAATGAAGTCTTTTAAATATTCTTTTTAATTTTATTTTAGATTAACAGTTTTGTACTTTACATTTTTTAATACAACCAACCAGTTTCTTTTCTAGCTGATCATCTCCAAAGTGTTGCTGTTTCTTACTGACAATAAAAATGGTCCCTTGGTTCGAGTAAGCCTTGTTTCCTGATTCTGTTGGCTGACTCTCTTAGGCCCAGGACTGGGCAGGAAGCTCCCTGGAAGGAAGGAAGGTCCAGGGACTGCAGTGATATTAAGGAGCCTGGTGATGCCCTTTCCCAATGCCAAATTTCCCTACCTTGTCTGTAAGAAGATTCTTCAAGAATATCCATGACTCTGGTTCTGTAGGTGCCAAACCCTGGGCTACCAGGATGTTAAAAAAGTGGGCCTGGTCTTCCTCACAGATCTGAATAGTGGGGTGTCATACCACTTTTCTCCACCTTTGGAAAGAGGTAGCAAGACCATCCAAGCCTGGTCATCTAGTAAAGACCAAACCCAATGCCAAAGAGTTAGAAAAAGAGGGGTCTGAGGTCCAGTGGACTCATAGTCCAGCTCTTGGCTCTTGTCACGGGCTCCGAAGTGGTGACTTTTCTTGGAGGAGTTCTCAGGTTTTTCAGATGAGGCCCAAAGGAGGTGATAGCTTTGTCAGGCAGCAGCAAGACAGGATGGGAGCAGAGTCCCACCTCTGCATCCTACAAGGAGCAGGGAGCTGTGCAGGGGATGAGTCTGGAAGGAGGCTGAGGACTGCACTTGGGAAGGAAATGATACTGGCTAAGAGCATGACAGCATAGGTTTCAGAACTAGGGCCATCTGAAAACCTTGGGGTGGATGCTCATTTACAGGCTGAGTCCCTGGGGGTATAGTAAGAGATGAGAAAGAAAGATGATGGTGGCTTAAATTTATTGAGCCCTGACTGTCTCTGGGACAGTGTTATAGATATGCTAAGAATTAACTTCCTAAGTCTTGATAGCAGCTCTAGGAGGTAGATACGATTATTACCCAGATGAAGAAACGGAGGCACAGAGGCATGAAGTGACCCAAGATCACACGCTTAGTAACGGAATGGCTGGGATTCAAACCCAGGCAGTTGGGTGGGAAGCCTGACTCTTAGCCACTACCCTACATTGTCTCTGGGACGCCTTAGTGTACTGAATACCCTGAGTCTTGGTAGCCTTTGTCCACCCCAGCCTGTCCCTGGGCGCCTCTGTGTCCCTGCTGCAAGCCCCATTTGAAGATGTGTTGCATGGTTCAGCCTGTAGTTTCCTCAACAGTCTAAAAAGTCCTGTTGTGATGGTTGTTGGGGATTTGGGCTACACCGAAAAACCTTTGGGTTCCCCAAGCTGAGTAGGTAGCACCTGGAGGATTGGACTCTGTTATAAGCTTGGGCTTCTCATGCCTGCTTTTTCTCTCATTATGAACTGATAAAATCCTAGTGCTTAACCTTGACACGTAAGCCCTTCCAAATACCAGCGGACAGTGGGGGCCGGGGCAGAGGGTGCAGATCTCAACAAAGAAAAGAAAATGGTTTTCCCTTTTCCCCCAACTACAGAAAAACAGGTATGATCCTGTGCCTTGAAACCGTAGATGGTCACTGGCCATACCACCCTGAACGTGCCTGATCTTGTCTGATCTCAGAAACTGTAGATGTTACCCTCACTCAGGAGTACTGAAAAACACCCACATGGTCAGGCGTGGTGGCTTACACCTGTAATCCCAGCACTTTGGGAGGCTGAGGCGGGCGGATCACCTGAGATCAGGAGTTCCAGACCAGCCTGGCCAACATGGAGAAATCCCATCTCTACTAAAAACAAAACAGGGGAGGGACAGTGGGGGGAGGGGAGCTGGGGAGAGAGAGCATGGGGAGAAGTACTAGATGTGGGTGATGGGGAGGAAGGCAGCAGATCACACTGCCACATGTGTGCCTATGCAACAATCTTGCATGTTCTTCACATGTACCCCAAAACCTAAAATGCAATACAATTTAAAAAAAAATACAAAAATTAGCTGGACGTGGTGGCGGGCACCTGTAATTGCAGCTACTTGGGAGGCCTGAGGCAGAAGGATCGCTTGCACCTGGAAGGCGGAGGTTGCGGTGAGCCGAGATCACACCACCACACTCTAGCCTAGGCGACAGAGCGAGACTCAGTCTCAANAAAAAAAAAAAAAAAAAAAAAAAAAAAAAAAAAAAAAAAAAAAAAAAAAAACAACAAAAAACCATACTCCGAGGTTGTTGCTATGTCATCCTGGGAAATTAAGCTTTAACCTCTAAAAATGCTATAACTGCCTGATCTCCTCACTTAACACTGTGTAGCCCCGGTGATAATATTTCTTAGTTCCATTTTCTGAAGATTATTAGCATCTGTGAGTTTTCTTATTAAGTCTAAAGGGACCATGGCCACGTTCCTCTTTTTGCCATATAAATGGAGCAAGATGTTAAACCCAGGGATTTTTATTTAAACAGAGTTTGAAAGTCAAATCTCATTTCAATGAAGACTGTCATCAGGTTGATGAATCACTTAATCCTTTTCCAGAAAAAATGTAGATTTTGCCATTACATGGCAGGAGCAACAATAATAATACAGCTGCCACTTACCAGGCATATTCTGTAGGTCGTTTCCTGAAATCCTCACACCAATCCTATGAGCTAGATGTTAGGATCCCAATCACATTGATGTGAAAACACAAGCTTGGGGAGTTTGTCACCTTGTCACCTGACTAGTAAGGGACACAGCCATCTCTGTCCACACCAAGCCTCGTGATCTTAATCCACACATTCACTTTCCACCTGGGACCTCAGCTCCATGTCAGACTCCATTTCGCTGTCCATGATGGTTTGTAAGTCTTCCCCTACAATGCCAATGGTGACACCTGGGAAAAATGAAGGTGGGGTTAGGTATTTGGCAGAGCCCTCCTGCTACCACTGGATGTTCCCTTATTGTATACAAGTTCTGTCCAAAACAAACTAGTAGTCTCAAGGAAGGGTGTATGCCTCAGTGTTTCCAAAAGGAGGTAGCATTGGACGGGATGGGAGGAAGGATCTCTTTATACGTCTTTCCTTCTTGATGTTGTTTTCTGGGACCCTTAGAGATTACTTCATCCAACACTGTCATTTTACATAGTTAAGTGGTCTCCCCAATGGCTGTGATCAGCAGGACCCAATCTGGAATCCAGGTCGTCTTCTAGGTAATCTCCTACCAGTGGAACTCTCTCACCTTCCCTTTAAGCACCCAGTGACTCTTGTTCTCTGTCTTCAAGACAGGGTTGATATCTGTCATTAACACTTTAGTTTGATCTAGAGCACCAAGTTCCCTTCCTTTCCTTAAGGGAGGGGTATTTTAGCCTTTATTGCTAAGCATGGAGTAGGAGTCTTCCTTCTTTCTTCTAGCCCTTCAGGCTTATGTCAGCAAGTAGAAGAGAAATGGAAGGCCAGGCACGGTGGTTCACACCTGCAATCCCAGCACTTTGGGAGGCTGAGGTGGGCAGATCATGAGGTGAGGAGTTCGAGACCAGCCTGACCAACATGGTGAAACCCCGTCTCCACTAAAACTACAAAACTCGGCCAGGCATGGTGGCGTGCACCTATAATCCCAGCTACTCAGGAGGCTGAGGCAGGAGAATCGCTTGAACCTGGGAGGCGGAGGTTGCAGTGAGCCGAGATTGTGCCATTGCACTCCAGCCAGGACGACAGAGTGAGACTCCATCTCAAAAAGAAAAAGAAAAGAAATTGAGGGAAACAAATGGCCTTCCCAGCATCCAAAATCAGAATTAGGCAGGGCTCTGCTTTACAGACATGCTAACCTGTACCATAACTGCCTCTTCTGGCTGAATCCTGGGTGCCTCTGCCTTCCTGCCATAGCGTCAGTTCTCTAGGAAGCAGATCCTCAGGCAGTGATTGAATGCGTGCTCTTTGTGGGCTGTGCAATCTTTGGGAGCTCTGCAATCTTAGGGTGCAGGAAAGAGAGAAAAGGGATTAGAAGCAATGGAAGTTGAGATATTAACTCTACTTGTCTCTGCTTCACACTAAACCACAAGACCCAACTTGTCAGGCAGCACTGAGCAGGATATCTTTAGGCAGGGTATAATAGAGAAATCAACCCCCAGCAGAGTCTGTAAAAAGGAGGAAGAAGAGGGAATGTATTTGCCCAGCTTGCCTCTACCTCAACTCTCCTGTTTCTAGTGATAAATTTCCCCTATTGGCTATGGTAAAACCCTTGATGGTTTTACCCATGGCTTGCATCATCTAGCCCTTTCGGTAGCTGCCTGGGAAGCCAGATCCCACATCCCACAAAGTGGCGTTCCATCCAAGGGAAGAATTTGTGAAATTAACCAGCAATTCAGGGAATAAACCCGTGGTCTGGGCTCTGTAGCAAGGAAAGAGAAGACGAAACCTTTCTTCCCAAGCAACTGGTAGACCCTAGGTGGGAGGACCATGTGGACCCAAGTTGGCTGCAATGACTACTGAAGTAAGGCAGACAGCTGGCAGCCCAGAAAACCACGGCCTCTGAAGGAGCTGAGAAGTCATAGAAGATTATCTGAGACATTCAGACCCTCACATGCCCCTTCTGTTATCTCCTGCTCCCATTAGAGCTTATGAATCTGTGTGTGTGTGTGTGTGTGTGTGTGTGTGTGTGTGTGTGTGTATAATATGACAGTTTCTCCTTTCCCACAAAAAGATGAACAAATCCATGTGCTTTCTGCTTTCCCAATAAGAGATGCCCAAATCCACGTGCTTTCTTCTTTCCCAAGAAGGGATGTCCCAGTCCAGTCGGTCACACAGTCCATTTCAAGGTGGCATCCAGTTTTACAGGTGGCATCCAGTTATGATCTCCCACGTAACCTGCAGCAAAAAGATTTGTGAAAGAAGCCACGATAGCTCCTGCAGCTGGACCAAGACTATAACAGACATTCAACATCTCCTTCCTCACCACCCATTTAAGCGTCTCTGACCCACAGCTCACACTTCATCTTGGCTGAGTTGCCTGCCTGCTGGGGTGCTCAAACCTCTCATCCCCAAAGGGTCTGGGTCTTTAATTGCTCCACCCTTCTTGGTTTGTGATTGTTGTAATTACCTAGTGACTGTTACCAGTGGGCATGAGTGTACTAAGAAAGAGCCCAGTGAGCTCCTTGGTTCCAGGCATGCTCTTCTCTGCCCCT